CACATTTTTTTTCATGTTTTATTGTTTACTGCCAAGAAGCAGTTGGATAAGGTGTGTATCCAAACTGGGGTGTCTACCTTACAACAATGGAAAGCTAAGATTAAAGCCTAAATGCAGCCACAAAATGGAAAAAATCAGCAGAATGGACATAACTTACAGTCAGTAGGTTGTGTCCCTTGTGGGATTTCCTCTACTGTTAGCACTAATTCTCCTTCGTCTTGCTGTCCCACCCCCACCCCGGCCACTGTAATCTTCTGATGTGCAGGGGTTAATAACTAAATGGCTGTTACGGGCTCTCATTAAGATAACCTGACTATGTCCACCCTTTCCACCCAGCTCTGCTTTTCATAGGAGCCATACTACAGCTTCTACATTATAAATGGAACAGGATCTATCAATAGAGGGTCTTGTCTAAGCAGTACTTGTAATTTGGTTTTAGCAGGGGTTCTGACATTTGAAAACTAAATCAAGGTTTGGAGATGAAAAGTTTGGGAGTCTGTTTTAAAGGATAGGTGTGATTGTAGTGCACTCCTGCCTCCTAAAAGACAACTGTACATTTGGTACAAGATGCCATTTATTGAATGCAACCACCCCTGGTCTGATGTTTTACTTTTGTTTCCTGTCAGATGCCAGACAACCTTTCTTCAGGAAACGTTGCTAGGTCCTACTCAGCCTGCACCTACGCTGAGGCCCTATTCATTCCTATGGGGAGCCATCTTTGTGAAGGCCTTCAGCTGGCCAGCAGCATTTGAAGATTTTAAAAGCACTTTTTTAGCCACGTCAATACTGGACACTTTCACCTCCTTCCTCCACAGGCCAATTTTCAGCTTTCAGTGCTCTCACACTTTGTATGATAGTTACTCGGTCATGCAGCACTGTACCCAAATAAAACTTGTATAATTTTTTTGAGACAAATATAGCTTTCTTTTGGTGGTATTTGATCACCACTGGGTTTTTTTTACGTTTTGCTGCATAAATGAAAAAATACTGAAATACTGTAAATTGGTTTCTCTTAGTTTCTGTTATAACATTTGCAAATGAATAAGTATTCTTCATAAAAGTAGGCCAAAATTTATTCTGCTACATTTCTTTGGTAAAAATAACCCAAGTCCATGTATATTATTTAGTTTGTGGGAAAGCTGTAGAGTCTACAAGCTATGGTACATATACAGTGCCTTGAAAAAGTATTCATACCCCTTTAAATTTTCCACATTTTGTCATGTTACAACCAAAAATGTAAATGTATTTTAGTGGGATTTTATGTGATAGACCAACAAAAAGTGGCACATAATTGTGAAGTGAAAGGAAAATGATAAATGGTTTTCAAACTTTTTTTTACAAATAAATATGTGAAAAGTGTGGTGTGCATTTGTATTCCACCCCCCTGAGTCAATACTTTTTAGAACCACCTTTTGCTGCAATTACAGCTGTAAGTCTTTTTGGGAATGTCTCTACCAGCTTTGGACATCTAGAGGGTGACATTTTTGCCCACTCTTCTTTGTAGAATAGCTTAAGCTCTGTCAGATTGGATGGAGAGGGTCTGTGAACAGCAACTTTCAAGTCTTGCCACAGATTCTCAATTGGATTTAGGTCTGGACTTTGACTGGGCCATTCTAACACATGCATATGCTTTGATCTAAACCATTTCATTGTAGTTCTGGTTGTATGTTTAGGGTCGTTGTCCAACTGGAAGGTGAACCTCCGCCACAATCTCAAGTCTTGCAGACTCTTAACAGGTTTCCTTCTAAAATTGCCCAGTATTTGGCTCCATCCATCTTCCCATCAACTCTGACCAGTTTCCCTGTCCCTGCTAAAGAAAAGCATCCCCACAACATGATGCTGCCACCACCATGTTTTACGGTGGGAATGATGTGTTCAGGGTGATGTGCAGTGTTAGTTGTCTGCCACATGTAGCGCTTTGCTTTTAGGTTAAAAAGTTACATTTTGGTCTCATCTGACTGGAGCACCTTCTGCCACATTTGATGTGTCCCTCACTTGGCTTCTGGCAAACTGCAAATGGGACTTACTATGGCTTTCTTTCAACAATGGCCTTCTTCTTTCCACTCTTCCATAAAGGCCAGATTTGTGGAGTGCACAACTAATAGTTGTCCTGTGGACATATTTTCCCACCTGACCTGTGGATCTCTGCAGCTCCTCTAGAGTTACCATGGACCTCTTGGCTGATTCTCTGATCCTTGCCCGGCCTGTCAGTTTAGGTGGACGGCCATGTCTTGCAAGTTGTGCCATGTTCTTTCCATTTTCGAAAGATGGATCAAACAGTGGTCTGTGAGATGTTCAAAGCTTGGGATATTTTTTTTTATAGCCTAACCCTGCTTTAAGCTTCTCCACAACTTTATCCCTGACCTGTCTGGTGTGTTCTTTGGCCTTCATGATGCTGTTTGTTCACTAATGCTCTCTAAAACCCTCTGAGGGCTTCACAGAACAGCTGTATTTATACTGAGATTATATGACAAACAGGCAGACTCTATTTACTAATTAGGTGACTTCTGAAGGCAATTGGTTCCACTAGATTTTAGTTAGGGGTATCAGAGTAAAGGGGGCTGAATACAAATGCACGCTACACTTTTCAGATATTTATTTGTAAAGAATTTTGAAAACCATTTATCATTTCCCTTCAACTTCACAATTTTGTGCCACTTTGTGTTGGTCTATCACATAAAATCCCAATAAAATACATTGTTTTAGGTTTTAACATGACAAAATGTGGAAGGGGTATGAATACTTTTTCAAGGCACTGTATATGAAAATTGATCAATCCTGATATACTCTTTTCCTGAGGTCCTAAAATGCCAGGACAGTACAAATATCCCCATATTGGCCCCTTTTTGGAAAGTTGACATCCCGAGGGATTTAGTAAATTTGGTAAGAGGCATGTTGAATTTTTGGTAGTTGCAATATTTTACCCACAACTCCTTGCAAAAAAAAACTATTAAATGTGTGTTTTCCCCATAAAATTGTCATTTTAACAACTTATTTCTTACAGACGTCATAGGCATACTTGAAATTACACCTCAAAACACATTCTGCTACTTCTCCCAAGTAAGGGGATACTACATGTGTCAGATTTATTTTCACATTTTAGCCACCTAGAGGGGCCCAAAATCCAAGATGCACATTTTGAGCTTTCAAACGGCATAAATTGCGGATCTAATTTCCTGACTACCTATCACACTTTTAAAGCCCCTGGAGCACCAGAGCAATGAAAACACCTACAAAATGATCACATTTTGGAAAGGAAATACTTCAATTCATTTTCTATGAGGCAGAATGAGTCTTTTGAACATGTAATTTTTTTGCCACAAGTTTTTGTAAATTTAGATTTTACATAAAGTTGTCAATTTATAAGATATTTCTGACACACAGCATGGACATACTAAGAAATACATCCCAAATACATTCTGCTACTCCTCCTAAGTTTGGCTATAACACATGTGAGACTTTTTCACAGCCTAGCCACATAGACCCAGAATCCAAGGAGCAACTTCAGGCATTCTAGTGGCATAAATGACACATCCAATTTTCTGACTATTACATTTATTGGAGGCCCACTGGGGACACCAATAGATATTTATGATTCACTGGGGACTGCGACAGATGTTGACGGTAAACTAGGGACACCGACAGATGTTGATGTTGCAATGGCAAACTGTGACAGATGTTGATGAGACACTGATACACTGACATGTTTTTGTACACTGTGACAGATATTGATAGGACACTGGTACACTGTGACAGATGTTGACTGTCCACTAGGGACACTGACAGATATTGATGTTGCAATGGAACACTACTGCAGATGTTGATGTGCACTGGTACACTGTGACAGATGTTGATGGGACACTAGTACAGATGTTGATGTGCATTTGGACATGGACAGATGGTGCTTGGTGCACTGGTATGGGATGGCTGCACTGTGTGTGATCCGTGTGTAGCTGCACAGTAAAATCAGCATCTACACACAGATCGCTGACTGGCATCAGCAATCATGCTCTCCCTCTTCTCGTTGAGCTCAGAGGGAGAGCTGGTACAGAGGCACATGTCTCTGTTTACATTGTTTGATAGCTGTGATTGGACACAGCCATCACATTATCGGGAGGGCCAATCGGAGAGTTGCTACGCAGGCCCCAGAGTATGGGTACGTCCTCTCAGAACGACACTTGCCCCACCTGGCCCTTTATGTACTGCTTAATAATTCACAGGTGATGGGCATAGAGCCAAACCTTCAGTTTCCTGAGGAATCAAGAATTTGCAAGCACTGAAGAACTTGATGCAAATATCAAGAGGGTTGTGACTAAATTGCATTCTTTTAATCATACCAGTGGTATGATATATATATATATATATATATATATATATATATATTTTATTTTTTTTTACCACTACTAACCGTGCACAAAGCTTTGTTAGAAGTTTGAGTTTATCTGTACATGTACACTCATGGCCAAAAATATTGGCACCCCTGTATTTCTGTCAGATAATGCACCACTTCACTACCAAATATTAAATTGAGGGTGCCAATAATTTTGTCCAGTCCATTTTTGGGAATTGCATGGAATGTGTCAGATTTGCCTTTTTTGTTTCTCCACTTTTTTGTATCCTACCAAAACAAGAAATAAACATGAGAATGGCTTACCATTTGTAATTGCAACATTTTTGGGGGGTGAAGTGGTGCATTATCTGACAGAAATACAGTGGTGCCTATATTTTTGGCCATTACTGTACATTTGCAAGCTATGGCCTTGAATGCAGTGCTAACCACTGAGATAAACTGCTGCATCCAATATTTTTTGTCGTAATGCCCACTTGTATCACATGTGAACACCATAGCCACTAAGATGCTTTATTTTTAGGCTGATTACCTGTGCGCCATGAACACATGGGGTAAATCAGATTGAAGCAGCACTCCAGTAAGCAAATACGAACCATTTTGGTAAAACACTGCAAACAAATACATGAACTGATTTTTTGCTGTTTTTCAGGTTGCTCATGAAACAGATGTTAGAGCCCAGATTCGTCTTCAACTCCGAGATGTCAATGGAGAACTTGTGGCTGTGCAACGGTCTATGGTGTGCACTCAGAAAGGGAAAAAAACTGAATTTAAAACATTGGAAGGCGTGATCACAAGGATGAAGTAAGCTCAAAATCTAGTAAATAACTACATAAATCCAGTAGAAGAGGGCTCTTTCCATTTGTGTTTTATATCACTGCGTTCCTTCTGAAGCCTGGTCAAATTTTTCAAGAGAATAAACTCACTCTTAGTGGTGCAGTGATTATAGGATGAAAGTTGATAAAAATGGTGGACAATAAATGGTTGCGATTTTTTGTTTTTGTTTTTCTTTTAAGTACTAGAGGATGACTGTATGTTGAAGTGACATTTATAGTTTAGGTCAGTTTTATTCTTTCTTTCTTTTTTTTTAAGTTCGTATTGTTAAAGTGGAAGTGCACTGCATCTGAGCACCACAAACCAAAAATGCTATTTAATTCATTGTCAATATTCAGAGCAAACTCCCCCATCCATCCATGTTTCCATGCTTTCTTTTGCTGATAAATCCTTTTGAGAAACACCCCCTGGAATTTCTGGCAGTGGCCATCTTTGAGTAAGGCCCGATGATTCAGGTAGCATTTACTTAATGGAATCCATCTACCCTTAGCTCAGACATTGGCTGAGCTTAGAACCCTCCGTCCCCTCCTGAAGACTTCTGGGATGTACAACATAATTTGACTAGTCATGGAAGTCAGGAAGTAACTGAAGAAATGTAAAAAAAAATGTAAAACAAGTAAATATGATCTGCTTTCCTGTCTATTTACTAATGCTAGCAGCATAAGGATTGCAAATAGTCCATGTTGATTGAGAGAGTGAAGCTCCGCTTTAAGGTGGCACTAAACCCAAATAAAAAAAAATAATGTTCAATACTTGTAGTTCTAACTAGTGTCTCTTCTAACAGCAGTGTTAGCAATTCCATAAAAATAACTAGCAAAACTGCAACTTCTTTATGAGGGTGGCTATTGTTCTGATTGATCCACACTCTATGTGGGAACGTAGACACCGACAGCTCACTCCTAACATGGAATACAGATTTATGTCTGGATGCATCTAGCTGCAGCACGTAAAAGCACAAAGAAAATTCCCATTTATAAAATCCTTGCCCACACCGCACTACCCACTGTCTCCAGTGTGGCAGCAGACGTTTGTGGGATGGACCAGCATGTAAAAACAAAAGTGAATACTTGCAGTCGGTTGGGCAGGCTAAAAAAACAGGTGGGTTGTACTTTCAACTTGCCCACAGAGGCAGAGAAATGGTATGTGAATGTTTTTTGCAGTAAATTCACATTTTTATTTTTTTTTTTGTCCACTTCAGCCTCGGAAGATTTTTCCCCCTTCTTGATCAGGCCATTTTTTGCTATTCGGCACTGCGCTATTTCAGCTGGTAACTGCGTGGTCCTGCAATGCTCTACCCAAGCAAAATTTGTCCTTTTTTCACACAAATAGAGCTTTATTTTGATGGTATTTGATCACCACTCGGTTTTTTATTTTTTGTGCTATAAATGAAAAAATACCAATATTTTTGAAAAAAAACCCTATATTTTCTACTTTATTAAAAAATATCCAATAAATTTAGGCCAAATTGTATTCTGCTACATGTCTTTGGTAAAAAAAAAATCCCAATGTGTGTATATTAATTGGTTTGTGTGAAAGCTTTTATAGTATCTCATATTTCTTGAGGTGCTAAAATGCCAGGGCAGTACAGAAACCTCCCAAATTACCCCTTTGGAAAGTAAACACCCTAAGGAATTTGCTGAGAGGCATATTGAGTCCATGGAAGATTTTATTTTTTCCCGGGAAATCACTTTTAAAAACACTCCCTAGCATTTCTGGCCATGGCTATCTTCAGTAAGGGCAGTTGATCAATGTAGCATGAACTTCCTGGAATCCATCTGCCCTTAGCTCAGTAATGCAGGCAGGAGGGTGTGTTTAGCTGAGAAAATCCCTCCTTCCTTCTTGAAGACTCCTGCATGACATAATTTGCCTATGCAAGAAAACCAGGAAGTAACTGATGAAATGTAAAAAAAAAGGTTTAAAACCAGTAAATACGATATTCTTTTGTATTTATTTACAATTCTAGCAGCATAAGGACTAAAAATTAGTCAATGATGATTGAGAGAGTGAAGTTCTGCGTAAGTTCACCTGTTGTAAAAAAAAACATAATAAATGCACATCTTTTTTTCAGATTAAATCGTGCATTTACTAATTTTTCACTCTACAGTCTGTAAAGCATTGCACCTTTGATCAGCAGATCGCAGGTGCAGTTACAAGATCCTGCAGATGGTCAGCTGTCTGCTCATTTCTCCTGTGTGGGGCAGGAACTTACTGAACAGAAAGACTGATCGGAAGAATCGGTGAACTATAAGAGTGCTTATCAGCGCCCTCGCAATAACTGAAAGTCAATAGCGGCAGTGGGCAATGGTACTTGTGGTTCATTAATTCAAAGAGCTCTGTGAATGAATGATGTGGCCGTGTGGGCAGAGCTCCGCATGGCTGCACTCTTTTTAAATTGTGAGAGTGGGGAGAAGATCCCCCACCCACTGTCATGGAAGGGGGGAGAAGGTGCAGGAGCTGGAACATGTTAAATGTTTCAGCCAAAAAATGGGTGGGACATGTAACATGTTCCAAAGGTGAACTTATCCTTTAATCACGGATTAGGTGCTTTTAGGTGATTGAGCACTGGCAACACCCCCCCCCTGAAACCCCCAAAGTCGTAGGAACATCCCCTATATAACCACTCCTACTCCTAGCTAATGTCAGTTTTTCTCTAGTATCCTTAAAGTGATGGACCTCTTCTCTCTACTGATAGATGCCTACCTATTTTCTGTGGAGGTTTTTCTCTATGGTGATTCTTCTATTAAGAGTCCTGACAGCACCATTGCTACTTTGGCTGCTTCTGCAGCTTTCGGATCAGTTGATTGCTCAGCTAAGGGGACCTTACCCAAACTCCATTTGGATGAAAATGTGGGGCTGGCCTGTATTGTCATTTCAGGCACCCACTCTGACACAAGAACTAGCTGGGGGATACTTTACAAGCCCAGGTCCTCGGTCTGCTGGCGGCAGAGCACCAGCTCTAAAGACCCCTTTGGGGGATGGGGGCTCATCCTCTACATCTTGCCCAGAATGCAGACAATTGCCCTGATAAATGCAAGGCTTGCGTCCTTTAAATCTTTCTTTCCTATCCCTATGTGGAAGGAGCATAGGCTGCAACATATTAAATGTTGTGTCACAATCATGGAGGGTGAGCCAGCAGCTATTTAAAATTGGTGCTATTTTTTCCCTTAGCCTGATGTAAGTGGTTGGCACAAACTGCTCCCAGTTTTCTATTGTGCAGCACAGTGATCTTTGAAAGTCTGTCTGGGCTCAGCAGAGTTAAGTGCCTGGCACAGGAATTTTCTAATATAATGTCTGATTTCAGGGTCAGAATTTCACTCCTCTAAGAATTCAAGAATTAAAAGGGTAACTAGCAAGCCCCTTCAGTCTCCCCCGCTGGGAAGTTGTCTGACTTTGCCTCAGCTGCAGATACATTGCCTGATGAGGAGGTAGATGAAGACCCCTCCCCCTTCTCGGACGATTAGAGGCTTGATATTGACAGAGAGGGTATATCTGAGAAGCTTATAGAAGGTAATGATTCACTAGTAACAGGTAAAGCCAACATGTTTCAGGGGAATTGGCTTCCCCTTCCTTTTAAATGTGAATGTGATTTAACCATTTCAAGTCCGGACACTTTTACCCCCTTCCTGTCCAGGCCAATTTTCAGCTTTCAGTGCTATCACACTTTGAATGACAATTGCGCGGTCATGCAACACTGTACCCTAATTAATTTTTTTTTGCAATTTTTTGAGACAGATAAAACTTTATTTTGGTGGTATTTATTCACCACTGGGATTTTTATTTGCTATATAAATAAAAAAGTCCAAACATTTTGAAAAGTGTTTTTCTTATAAAATTGTGCAAATAAATAATCTGTCCTCTTAAATCTTGGCCAAAATGTATTCATCTATATTTTTAATTAAAAAAAAAACAAAAAAAAAAAAAAACAAATTAAGTTTACAACCAAAAATTATAATTTTTCAAAAAATGTTTTGACATTTTTATCTTATTATCTTTTTACATTATTATTATTTTTTTTTTTAACATACTGTCACCCTAGCAGTACGGTGTCACCATGCATTTGATGTGAGAATCCTGGATAATGGGGCTGTGAGCTGGTCGTTATCATCTGGCTGGTATTGGTTTAATAAATGTGCCTTTTACAAGTTGGTAAAATGTGAGTGGCCTCGATTTTGTTTTTTTGTCTATACTATTGATCTGGCAATATTACACTATATATAAGATTTTTTCCCTGGTGACACGGTGGAGCGGATTCATAGGGCTGTGGTGGGGACCTGAAAGAAGATCATAACCTGGCGGTGTAAGGATACTATAGAGCTGATGAAAAGAGGGTTTAGGATCCCTAAAAATCCCTAAAGGCTTCTCATTCACCATTATCTGGTGAGTGCAATTGATGTTGGTGTGCACAGGTGAAAGGTGGAAGCTTTTTTGATCTAAAGATTGTTTGGAATCTTCAGTCTTCATCACACACGGTCCTTTGGTGTTTATTATTTTGGTTCTGGAGAAGGATAAATTAATTATTATATGGGATATTCACTAATTTTGAGTGGACATTTATGATTTGTAATTTACTTATGAGCATCATATATTTGTGAGCCTGAATATTTGTTTAGATTGGGAAATTCGGCCAGTTTTTAATGGCCCTCATTCCCAGCCGACTTGCATTCGCTATACCTGTTACCTGTGAACTACTGCCTTAAAAAAACTTCTTAAGTGTACCCTCGAGTATGGTGAACTTTTGTAGAAGGCACACCTCTATATCCATTAAAAAACCACCTCCTTCTGAGGAATCTGATCAGAATGAGTTGCCTTTTGCTGAAATTGCATCCAAGCTTAAGGATGCCGTTGCTCTCTCTTCCGAGATTTCATTTGGTCCCATCGGAAGCCCATCTTCAGCTTCTACATCTTCCTAAGTGTCTAGGTGGGCTGGGTCTCCCGGATGTTCGAGCCTACTGCAGAGCGGCCCACCTGACAAGGTTAATAGATTGGAATTGCCATGTAGAGGCGAAACCTTGGGTAGCAATGGAGTTGGAGGACTCTCAGGGCACCGCCAGAAGCTGGCATTGGATCTCATCACGAATGTCCCAGGATCTGTTGGACCACCCTACGCTCAGCACTTTGTTGGTGTCCCGGGAGACTTTTCGTAATTCTTCCCTTTCTCCGTTGCCATCCCCCATGCTCCTCGTTTTGGGAAATCCAGCATTCCAACCGGGACTGAACAACCCTCAGTTTCAACACATGGCTGTTACTGGACACCTTCATCTTTATGATTTCCTGGATCCAGATGACAATCTTGCCCCCTCTGCCTTGTTGGCGGCTGCGGACCCACCGCTGGACTTTTGGAACAACCTACAAGTTCGACATTTTCTTTGATAATGTTCCCGATCTCCGGCGTTCTGTCGCCGTCTTATGGAACTGGAAAACATCTGTCACAAGAAGGAGCCTATCTGATGCTCTCTTTCTATTCTCTATTCTGCCATGATCAGTCCTCCATGATGACTTTACACCTACCTTCCTTTCCCACTGGGAAGCCGACCTGGGCCTCCGTTTCACGGACATGCAGAAGGAGAAGATTCTCCACTTTGCACAGAAATCCTCCATTGACTCGGGTCCAGGAAACCTGATCCGGAGGTATATGGTCCCTACAACCCTACTACACCTCATTTTCCCCAGATTTCGGACCTATGTTGGAGGTGCGGCACTGACCATGGTACTTGCCCTTTTGGACTTGCCCTAAAATCAAACCATTCTGGTTGATAGTGACCAGCACTATTAAGGACTTGACGAGTGTCGATGTGGCGTGTGACCCAGCAGTGGGTTTATTGCACCTTACAGACCGCCCTATTAAAAAGTATAAGGCCTAACTGACAATTTAATTGTGAAATGTGGCAAAAGCCTGTATTCCCCTGTGCTGGAGGTCTGTGCACCCACCTATGAGGTCCCTTTGGTTTTCTAAAGTCAATGAGCTACAGGACATGGAGGACCTCACGGCCTCCTTATATGACTGGATGAAATATTCTGAGACACCTGGAGACCATGGCAATACTTTGTCTATACTGACTCCTATCTTCAGATACCCTCTGGGCTGGTCTGAGGGGCCCCATCTTGTCTTTCCTGATTCTCTGCAGCCCCCGGATGGGAGAGACTCCCTGCTCTATTCCGCTGCTCCCCTTTCAACTGGTTTCTTTCAGATTTCACACTCCCTTTTTCTGTCTTTCTTGAGGTTTATTGTCTGAAATTCCCTTGTTTCTAATTCCTTCCCTTTTTTTTCCCTTCCCCTTTTTCACTATTCCCCTTTCCCTGTGTCCCGCTTCCCATCCTGTCTAGCTCCCCCTGTACATCCATAGTCTTCCCCATCTTCCCGTCTTACTGGGAGCTATATACCGGAAGTGCTTTATCAGTGTGGTGCCTGATTCTCTGTATGGGACCTTCTTTCCCTTTTTTCATATTTGAGGGTTTATGATCATTCCAAGATGTCCCGGTCCTCCATTTAGCTCTTGCAGATGGTTGTTCACACTGGACTTTTGCACTCAGGCACCCCGGCTCAAAGACTGTGACCATATAACTGATCTTTTATGCTGTTGTCTGTTCCTGTTTGCACCATAACGTTGATAGTCTACTTGTGTATCTGTTATACTTGGTTCTTATTGCCATGTATTTTTACCTTCTGCTTACTTATATTGTACCATTCTTGGCTACCAGACCAGAAAATATATAAGCAAAGGAATTATTTTAAAAAAAGGATGCTGTTGCTTATAGATGCCTTTCGCTGTTTTGTAGCATTACCGTTAATTCACCTCCAGGGTCTCCCGCATGAGGTTCCTATAATTGCCCAAGCCTGATAAAAATGTTTCCCAGTCCCCTTACTCTTAGAGCCCCTCTTATATGGGGACTGGCATCACCCTAAAAACCTTTTTGTTCCTCCAAATATTTTTACTACGCAATATCCTATTGAGGAGGGGTTTATGCAAAAATGGACAGTTCCTGTAGTGGAACTTGCCATCTCTTGTCTTAACAAGAAGCTAGCTGGACCCAGTGGACAAAAGGTTAGATGCCTTTTTTTTTTTTTCTAAGTTGGCAAGCCCCACCGTGCAACCTGTGGTTGCTTTCATGGCAGTTTGACAGACCCTTCTCTTCACTAAGCGCATGGCCCACGACCCTAGCTTGACCAACTAGTTCTCCTGCCTGTGGCCTTACACATAAATGGCCTGGCAGATATGCTTATCCAGTTCTTCAGTATGAGCCTCCTCTTAGTCCATATAGAAAGATTCTTTGACTCAAATGCTGGTCAACAGAACGTTTGTGCAAGAAACTCCTTGAGCATCTGTCCTTTTGAGGGAAAATATTTAATTAGTTTCTCCTTGGATAAGTACATTGAGAAGTTTATAGGGAGTAGAAACACTTTCCTCCACCCAGAAAAAGAGTGCTTGTGCTTCTGCAGGTAGATCTTCTACACCTGAAGTTAGGGAAAGTTCCTTTTGCCCCTCTCAGTCCTCTTGTCCCAAGTTCAAGTCTTGAACAAACATTTGTGGGATGATGTGGTCCTCTAAACTGGTCAAGTCTTGCTCCAAGCCCTGCTCTCTGTGAAGGAGTGACCCTGCTTCTGTTGGCATTTTTGTTCTTCTGGTTCCTGGAAATTTCAGATGCCCAGAGTGTAGTTTTCTTGTGCTAAAAACACGAGTTTCAGACTTTGCCTTCTTCCCACTTCATGCCCTCAAAGTTTCCTCTCTCCCTACAAAGATGGGTGGATCTTCTTGCTTCTCTTCAGCAGTTTCTGTTGCAAGGGTTGATTTCCCCAGCTCCGACTAAGAAATACTTTTAGGGTTTTACTTCAATCTGTTTACAGTTTCCAAGCCATATGAAGGAGTTTCACCCATTCTTGATCTGAAGACTATCAATTAGTTCCTGTGGGTTCTTTAAGGAATCAGCCAGGTCTGTCATTGCCTCCCTGCTCTTGGGCAATTTTCTGGCTTTTGATAGACATCAGGGATGCCTGGGATTACTTGAACATTTGCATCTTTACTCCTCACCAATGATATCTTCATTTTACAGTGGATGATTAGCATTACCAATTTGTTACTCATCCCTGTGACCTGTTCACAGCTTCCCCTGGTTTTCATTAAGGAGCTTTCCCAGTTCTAGCTCTGCTCTGTTCTCAGGGGATACACTTGCTAAAGGATCAGTCCTCCATATCCCTGTCAGCCACTGCCTGTGGGACAGTGCAGACTCTAGAGGACTTTGGTGGGATCCTCAAGCTTTGGAAGTCATAACTGGAACTGACCCTTCAGCTATCAGGCCCAGGATAGATATGACCCTGTCCAGGATCTTCCTGTCCTGGGACAAAACTCTGTCCCGCTTCTCTCGTGCCCGGACCCTTCAATCCCAGGGTCTATTCTAGATTTGTTTCTGCATGAGGGTCTTGGACCTGATGGTAACCTGCTTTAAAGCTGTACCGTATGCCATTCACTCGAGGCTGTTGCACCTTAACATTGTGGCAATGTGACACACACCTTTTCAATCCTTGGATTGCCCCATACAGCTGATCTGCAAGGCCATACCCCTGGTGTTGGGGATTTCCAAACCAGAACTTGAGTCAGAGAACCCTTTACCTTGAAAGACATTGAAAGTTATCATGACAGATGCCAGTCTGTGGGGCTGGAGACAAATCCTGGATGCCCTCTTTGTACATGACTTAGTCGTTGGAGGAAGCTTGTCTTTACAATAACATCCTGCAATGCAATTTTGTATTCCATTCTTCACTGGACCCCTCAGTTGCAAGGTCACCTAACAAGAAGGTTGCGATGCTCAAATGGAAGCAGACTTGGTCATCTCTTGGGCAGAACTCTATGTTCCAGCCCCACCATCCCTATACATCCCATGCTTAGGTATTGACTTGCTGAATTTCTTAGTACTCAGTGGCTGGATCTGGGAGAATGGGCTCTCTGTCTGGAGGTACATCAAGCCCTTTACCACAGGCAAGGGATACTGGACGTGGATCTTATGACATTGTGATTCAACATCAATCTGGACCCTTGGGCCCTTGCAGTGGATGCCCCTGAGCTCCGTTCACCCTGATCTACCCCTTTCTACCCCTCCAGCTTCTCCCTTGTCTGCTCCGCAGGATCAAGATAGAGGGTATTCTGGTGATTTACATTGCACTAAAGCTTGCTTCAAAACTGAGGCTAATTTTGGGGTCGGAAGGGTTATATAGGGGATGTCCCTGCAGCTTTCTTTTTTTGCAGGTAGCTGCATGTAACCATTGTTTAAAGGCTAAAGATTGTGTGTACTACTGCTGGTAAGTCAAAAATCTGATATATTTTTTATTTGGTGATTATTTTCTTGAGCTGTTGCTTTACTGCTGAAGTGGGACATCTGCCTTTATCATGTGTGCTCTGTGTTAATAATTTGTTTACATTTCTTGCCAGGCATGGAGAGAAAGTCAGCCTTAGTACGAAATGTGCAGAAATGGACAGAGAGATGATCAGTGCATTAGGAGTGTCCACTGCCGTTCTGAACAGTGTCATCTTCTGTCACCAGGAAGATTCCAGTTGGCCTCTCAGTGAGGGAAGACAGCTGAAGATAAAGTTTGATGAGATCTTTTCAGCAACCAGGTAAACCTGTTCATCTGAAATCCATACAAGGTAATAGCATCTTTACAATTGTCCTTTTAGACCACTAAAACTGTTTGCATCTACGCTGGCAGTATTCTGACTCTAACGGCCTTCAGTTGTTGTTTTATGTTGACTGCTTTTCTTAACCCCTTCCTGCTGCTGCCTCCCGAACCCTTAACAAGATCTAAATGCCAGGAGGCAGGGGTGGTAATTCCTATCATGTGACCGTTTTTATTAGCACTCACAGCAGTCACATGATCAGAAAGCTTTCAATCGCAAGTATGCAATTGGGAGCTTTCCGGTACCCACTCATTACTGTGCAGGGAGCAGCCTCCCAGCACAGTAAAGTGTTTACCTAGAGACACATATATGCAGCTGCTTTGTGTTAAAGCACACCCGCTGAGAGGCTGCATATATGCATATGGACAGCGGGAAGTGGTTAACTATCAGGCCATTTATAAAGGCTCGGTACTGTTTCTTTCAGCTGGCAATTGGCTTTTCAGTAAAAGTGATCCAGATGGCTTTTCAGTAAAAGTGATCCAGATGTCTTTACAGCTGCCCAGTCACTTTTACTGTACTGAGATAGGGGTGCCACCCAGCTGTTTTTTTCTTCAGTCAGGGTTATTGTTGCTTTAATCAAGATTCCTCTACAAACTGCTTAGCTAGTCTCTATATACAACTATCTGGACCAGCAGTTCCACATTCGGAGACTGTATTAGGACTCCATTGAATTGGAAGATTTCAGGGCTACCCTGTAATGTGACTTGTGTGCACTGGCCGTCGTACTGTTGCACTTTCCAGACCTTGTCTTTGAAGACTAACTTTGTAAGTAGGCCATGTAGGCCGAGCACCAGGATCTTTTTTTCAGGACATTGGGTACCATTTACTAATCTCTATTCTTCATTGGTTCACCATAGAAGAGGTTAATACAGAGAGACTGAGCATTGAAGTCATCTGTTGGTTGAAGTGCCTCATGTTTCTGTCATTCAGTATAGAGGAAGCATCTTCCTGCTGCTGCTGCTCCTGCTCTCTTTTTTGGTAGGATTTCACTGCAGTTATGCAGATGTTTATAGGCCAAATTGCAATTCTAACTGCAGAGACCATAAGCATGCTTCCATGCAATCCCCTGCAGGAACTTTATTGATCTGATGATGACCTTGAAAGCTTCTGTACCTTTAAGGAGGGGTGGGCTCCCTCAGGTCCACCTGCCCTTGATCTATCCATTAAATACATGTGCCTCTACTATGGGGGCTCTTAAAATTTGTAGAGTTAGGAACTACAGAAAATCAGGGTGCTGTGACGAGGCTGTATAGCTTGCGCATGTATTTGCAAATGTGTGTTAACTAAACCCCTGTTTTTAACGTAGGCATGTTAATTCGGTTTGTTTGCACGCTGGCTGGCAAGCTGAGCAGGGAATTTTTCTCTTTTGTTGTTTTTTCTGAGCCTTCAGCAGCCAGGACTATTAGATGCTGAGTCTCTAAGTTTTTAAAATGTTTGTTACCCAAACATTTCATATTCCTGAAATGTTTATATTGTACCATGTACTTGTGTTAAAAAGTATCCTGTTCTCTGTGTTTTTCTTTGTGTAAAATAACCTGGTGATCCTACCAGTCCCCCGGTTTCCTATTTCAAACTGACCATGCTAGGCATAAAAGCACTTCCTTTCCAGCGTGGTTGGTTTTATGGCTATGCTGAGAGTACAGTCTGTCTGTCCTCCAATGACTTTTGCTGACACCCCCCCTGTACAGCTTTTCAATGGTCAGGCAGAATTGTTTTCATCCCAGGCATGGATGATTTGCAGGCAGGCAGGTCTCCTCAGCCGGCAATACCTGGACCCATTGAGAGTGGTCCATGCACCCGGAGGTATTCTAGGATCTGTGCTACAGCTGGGGAGTATCAGACCTCTTCTAGAGACACACATATGGTGTGTCTCTAGAAGCAGAGATCCTGTCTCTGAAGCAGTGGATACTTAGTGACTCTGTGGGATCAGTACAATCTGTTCTACCACTTTCCTTCTCTGAAGCTTCTTTCTCATCTGCTCCCCAGAACTGAGATGAAGGGCATTCCAATTATTCTTATTGCTCGGAACTGACCCAGGAGGATGTGGTACTCCGATCTGTTACTCTGTGGATTCTTCCAGATTGTCTGGATCTTCTGTCCCAAAGACCAGTTTACCGTCCTCCTTCCCAGTAACTAGCTTTAACGGCTTGGCTGTTGAAACCCAGGTCTTGAGGAACAGAGCCATCTCTGAATCGGTGATTTCTACAATGTTGAAAATGGGGAAGTCTAATTTATGCAAGGTCTATGATTGCATATGGAAGGCATACTTCATTTGGTATGAGGAAAGAAACTTTCACACAAGAAAATTTTCAATGGGATGAATCCTGGTCTTTATGCAGTTAGACTTGGATTAGTATTTGGATTAGTATTTGGCCCTGAGTACTCTCAAGGGGCAGACCTTGTACCAGAGATCGTTAGCTCCCCATTCTTTTAAGACCTTCATGCAGGGTTTCTCTCATGACTTGTGGCTTCCCCTGTGCTTTCAACCATTAATCTGTAGGATCCCAATTTTGGTTCTCTCTGCACTTCAAAAACAACCTTTTTTGACCCTATCAGGGATGTTTTCCTTTCCACACTTACTCACAAGGTTCCATACCATGTTGCAATTTGCTCGGGAAGGTGAGTGCTGAGCTGGCGACCCTAGCCTGCAAAATATATTTTTATGGTCTTATGCAAAGGACAAGGTTGTGTTGAGACCCAGAATTTCCTTCCTCTCTTGGGTGGTTTTGGCCTTTTACCTCAATCAGGAAATTGTTCTTTCAACCTTCTGTCCGGCTGGAGTTCAAAAGGTGATTTTCCTCCATTGTCTGGATGTAGTTCTTGCTATGCATGTCTACTTCACAGCCCCTGCTTCCATTAAAAAGCATGACGCTTTCTTTGCCATTCCTAATGGTCCTCATGAAGGGGAAAATTCTTTACATTCAGGTTTTCCCTTTTCCTTCATTCCTTAGGTGGCTGTTTGAGCTGAAGGCAGTCCACAGTACTTTTTTTTTTATCTCCGTGTCTGTGTTTTGCTGATGTTGCCCATCTTTCAGCTATTCTGATTTTGAACATCCCAGTCTGAATTCCTGTGCTTTTCCCTTTGTATATACTGTTCACAGTTGTCACACCCCTCTGTGTCTCTGACTAAACTCTTAGTACTGCTTTTCTATCAGACTGAGGCATGCTGAGAGTACGAGGGGTTATACCGGACTGGTCACAGTTTTTTATTTTCTAGCGTCTAAATTTTCCTGTAGGTAACCTTTCTTGTGTCTTGTGTAAATGGATTTTACTGCAAGTTCAAAAGTCCCATTATCTACTATGGGTGTCAAATTCACAAAGTATGCCACATTCCCTATTTTTCAATTTATATCTTTAAAACTTACTGAACACACAGCCATTATCTTTGTTCTGTGACCTGTAGAAGAAATCATTTCTAGAGAACACCTGCTAATTATTTTTTATACCTGTTCCCCTGAGGTAAAAAAAAATTGAGAGAGCCTGCATTAGAACATGTACGAATATGTGCTGTGGTACATAGATGCATCTGATGCATTTCCCAGTAGATACTTTAATATGTCTTCATCCTAAACTTGCTGTGGTGAAATATGCACCTTACAATATACATACAAAATCAAGCTTTTCAATGTCCACATCATGCAGAAAAAATGTGACTATACTAAATCTGGCTTCACTTCCTAAAACAGCTTATCACCAAAACAGAACGGTGACTGCATTGCAGTAGAGTAACCATCACTGTGCCCAAGTATTATTGCACTTCTGTGATGTAATAAGAAAAATAGGAACTGCTTTGTGTGCCCGTAAGTGTATATCTTGCTTAATATTCCTCCATTGTGTAGTTGAGATCACAATATATGGATTGAGCATTTAAAGGGAACAGAGCCATGTGACTGAATTTTTGATGAGGTATTTAGAGAACTGTGACAAAAATGTGTTGATAATTCCACATTGAAGAAATCACTGATTTGCCCACATGGATTGCTAGAAATATGAAAGTTAAGCATTGTGGTATTTGATTCCACAAATTTAAATAATTTTAACTATTTTTTTTTGGTTTCAATTTTAACATATGCGTTTTCCAAAAAACCCAAAACACTTTATTTCATAGTATTCTATATCAATGGTCTGAGTGTTCTTCCACACTACTTGGGCATGTCATCTTGGTGATGACATCATCCCACTTCTGGGTTCTTTTTTGGCCAACCACAGTGGTTATAACCTAACTGGTTATACTATTTCAAATTCTAGCAAGCTGTAGAGACCATGATTTCTATATCCTTTGCTGACAAGGACTAGCAAGCCTATTAATGCGTGTAATAATATTGGGCTGTAATTTTTCAAATGTTATTAGTTCTAGATTCCCAATTATCCAATGAGGTATAAAGAAATTACTTTCATGGCTGTGGCCTTCTTGATGGCCATCATTTCTTCCTAATTGTTCGAGTTTGCAGCTTTTTCTGTAAGCAGTCCTTTTGGTGTTGTATGGGGACAAGGTAGTTCTTTTCGCAATGCTATCTTTCTTGCCTAATGTGTCGTTTTTTTACTATAGCAAGGATACGGTCTTACCTTCCTTGTGCCCTCATCCCTCTCATCTGAAAGAAGTGGTCCTCCATTGCCTGACTATGGTCATGGCTATTAGAGGTTATGTCACAGCCACGGCTTCTATTTGAAAGTCTGATGCTCTGTTCATAGCTCCAGAGGGGCCTAGACATGGACAGGCTGCCTCGTTTTCCACCATTTCAAAATGGATCTGTAGAACAGTGATCCAGGCCTTTCATCATTCTGCTTCTGTTGTTCAGGTTTGCAAGGCAGCTACTTGGTTGTCAGTTCACGTTACCAAGTTTTTGACTTCTGCGGATGCCAGCCTTGGCCAGAAAATAATGCAGGCTGCAGTTTGAATTCTACCTGGGGTTTGGTTGTGAACCCACAGCTTCTTCTGTCTTTCTCGCACTGCTTTGGGATGTCTCATTTGTGAGAAATTCAGCTGTGTCCTTCAGTGAACAACAGAGAAATGTTTATATTTTTGTCCTTAGTAAAATTCTTCAAGTTTAATAAAGGACACTGCCCAGTCTTGTTTAGAATCCTGAGTTGCAGATAGGAGGCTTGGCTACCACCAGAGGGCTGCCCCTTAGGCGTGCTTTTAGTTTAAGTTGCAATCACATCCTAGTCCTGAAGGTGACGCCATCAACCCCATCCATGAGAAAATAAGCAGTGTCCTTCAATGAACTTCAGAGAAAAGGATTTTAAAGTGAGTAAAAAAATCCAATTTTTGCATTTGTCAGGTGTAGTTCCATTGATGAAAGAACTAGCTTGAGGTTGCAGCTGGTTCACTGTGAGCAATACAATGGTATATACCTAAATAGATGGTGGTTTAGAATGACTAGTTACACAGTCCACGAGCTGATGAATGTCAGTATTGTCATGCAAGTTCTCAGCATTTGTACGTTCCCAGACTCCTACTGAAAGTTTAATCTTGTTGCTGAGATATTGTTTCATTGACACGGCTGTAAGATGATTCATTGATGCAGGCATGATCACTCACAGGACATTTTGTTGGTTGAGTGGGTATCTCTTTTGAGCTCCCGTAGAACATGTTTTTAGGGATGAAGGGTCTTGGATTCTCTCAACAATTTTAAAAGAGTGTATATTGATTGAATTAAATTTCTGTCTGGAGCAAGAAGCACCTGGATGTAGAGGATGTAGAGTCTCATTTAAAGGGGCCTCAATGTAAGGCTGATAGGTGCCTGTCACTATTGCATTCTGAGCACTTTACTGTAGCCTTGCAGTCTCTGGCAAAGTACTCCGTGGATGCACAACATCTAAAGCAAATTACATAGTTCTTTAGATACTTATTGCATTTTTTTTTAACAGCTTTCCCTTGAATGTTTGACATTTTCTGAGATGATGTGGTTTGTTATGGATGAGACCGTGGAGTTTGGATCTTTTCGCCTTTACTCTTTGATGCTGCTGGTAGTAGGTGTAACTTCTGTCTTTTAATAAGAGACAACATTTATAGAGTCTCTGTATTTAGTATTGAGGTTTTCTCTTCGTGTAGTTGGAGAGCTAGGATTGCTTAAGCCGATAACTGAAAAGGTTCAATCAGCCTTAGCTCTGGCTAAGTCTAATGGATTTTGAAAGGAACAAATGGTTGGGAAGCTGTCACCCATTTTTCTTGGATATTGTATAGTAATTTTACTACAAATTTTTGTTAACACTGTGCTCAGTGTCTTAAAGGATAACTTCATCTTATGTTACATGTTACACTCATATTCAGGATTTAACATGTTACGAACAGCCCAGCCCCCTCCCCCTTATCCCCGTTGTGACCGCTAGCGGTGGATCTTCTCCTCCCACTAGCTGTCACAATTTATAAAAAAATATGGTCATGGGACTCCGCCTGCCTTGCTGCATCACTCATTCATAGTTTTCTGTGAGAGATAAAACTACAAACCCCAGCAGCCTTTGCAACTGGCGGCTTGTATTTCTCAATAAACTACCACGGCGCTGTGAGCACCATGGTAGTTCGAGTCTCCCTGTCAGTAAGTATTGGCTTCCCCGTATGAGGAAACATATACACTGATTGGACTGCAGGAGACCTGCACGGCATCAGCGATCTGCTGATTGCTGGTGCAATGCTTTACAGGCTCCAAAAACAATAAATAATAAATGCATGTTTTTTTACTTGCAAAAAAAAACCCAAAAAACTTACATTTATTATTTTTTGTTCAAAGGTGAACTTAGCATTTTAAGTAGCTAAGACCCCGTAGATGTGGGTCTTCCTTCATGATTACAAGCTCAAGAAGATCACTTAGGTTGTGGAACTTCTGTCTTTGTTAGTTTGTTTTGGAAAGTTCTGCATTCTCTTGAACAAGGCAAGGTCAATAATTTCAGAGCCTCCCATAAATTTGTTCTCATCTCTCCCATGCGAAATTAGGGCCTTTGTCTGGTTCATGAATGTGAACAGTTTTAAGTCTCTTAACACAGTCTGACAATTGAAGACATAACCATCTGATTGAAAAATCAAGTTCTTTCGATATATTGGCCACCGAAAATTATAAGCTAAAAATGGGGTTATCTGAGTTTTGCCGATAGGAAAAAAAACAAGTGTCGATAATGATAATTGACTTCAATGCAAAACCACTTTCCATTGACTTCAATGCAAAACCGCTTCTCATTGACTTCAGTGCAAAATTGCCTCCCATTGACTTCAGTGCAAAATTGCCTCCCATTGACCTCAGTGCAAAATTGCCTCCCATTGACCTCAGTGCAAAATTGCTTCCATTGACTTCAGTGCAAAATTGCTTCCCGTTGACTTCAGTGCAAAATTGCCTCCCGTTGACTTCAGTGCAAAATTGCCTCCCCGTTGACTTCAGTACAAAATCACGTCCCATTGATTACAATACAAAATCACATCCTATTGACTTCAATGCAGAAATGCGACCCGTTGACTTCAATGCAAAAAACACGTCCTGATGACTTCAATGCAAAAAAAACACGTCCTGATGACTTCAATGCAAAAACACCTCTATTTAAGTTTTTTCATTTTATATATATTTTCTGTCAAATTTATGTGTGTTACTTTCAATAAAAGTTATTTTACATTACTGGATTGTGGTTTTTAAATTCATATTCATTTAAATTCATGATATTAATTAAAAAGTCGAATACAATACAATTATATATAAAAAGATATTGGAAAAAAAAAACTGTCCATTTCGGTTTTCGGCCATGTGCATCCTGAATTTTCGATTTCGGTCTATAATATTCATTTCGATGCAGCACTAATAGGTGGTATGCTGAGGTCCTGGACTGCTGCTTTAAGGTGGATCTTCAGCTTCTATAGTTCTCAATGTGGTAATTGAACTTCATAAAGCCAGTGTTAATTCGTTCTCTGGGGCCATGTACTTGGCAAGGTCCAATGTATTAGTTCCTTGAAGTTATGCCAAATTTTCTGTTGACACCAGAACAGTAATACAGGGGAAATCTTCCAATAGGGACACTAGTTCTGGTGACACACTGGGATTCCCATTTTGGCTATTGGGTAGGAAGTAAAGGAAGATCTCCCACATGGGATATAGATGGCAAAAAAACTGATGGGGGTTATAGCCCTCCCTTAGGCTTGGTTCATACCTGTGGGTATTTCAGTTCGTTTTGCAGAAACGCATTAGTCCATTTAACATTTTCCTATGGGACAAGTTCACATCTATGCATTTTCAGTTGCTGCGTTTTTGGAAAGAGTGCATTTTTGGTGCAATAGACTTCAATGGAACTGCACCAAAAAATGCAAGTGTTGAGTTCTGATGCATTTTGTATGCATTTTTCAATTTTTTGGGCCAATTTGAACATATCGAATGCGACTTTATACTCTCTGGCACTCAGTCGCATCAGAGTAGTGTGTAGTAGTTGGTTTTTGCACTACTTTGATGCAACTTTGACGCAACTTTACACTCTCTGGTGCTCAAGTCGCATTAAAGTAGTGCAGGAATATTTTCAAAGTCACTGCGACTTACCAGCCTCAGAGCTGCTTTGTTGTTGTGGTTAGGAGTTGGATTGCCTTCAGATTATGGTTGCAGCCACAATGAAATGCATTGCTGACAAGTGAATTTAAATGGTTAAGGCACAAGGAACCAAAGAAATGTCCCTTAGTTTCTAATGGGAAAATCTTTGTTATGATTTTGAGTCTTTATTTTTAATAAGTTGATTTTCTTATCTATAAAAGGTATATTAAAGCCTTGGAAACTTTGCGTCAGGTGAGACTGAAGCAATCCCAGCGGGTGAAAGAATGTCAAGCAGAGCTGAAGTATCTAAAACAGAATAAAGAGAAAGCAAGTGAAATCCAAGACCAGCTCCAGGGTAAAGAGGCCCAGTTATCAGCCTCTAAAGAGAATGTGAAATCTATTAATAACCAGCTTGAACCACTCAAAGTAAGTAATAATAATAATAAGAATGGCACTATGAAATGTCATGTGTGACAGAGTGGCAGCTCAAGAGCTCAGTTAGAGACAATTGTCACTTCAGTAAGTACTTGAAAAAGGACCTTCATGACCGGACGTCCGGGTATATTTAAAATCTATTGTAAAGAGAAAAAGGTTAATCTGTCAGAAAGATATAAACCAGTTCACGTAGACACTATTGTAGGTGTAGTCATTGTAACCTATATGTCTATTGCAAAAAAGAAGGCCTCCGCATGTGCAGGAAAAGTGCTTACTTGTAATGCCTGAAATAGCGACTGGATTTGTAGAAAGAAGTATGTTTATTGAAATATATATTTTCTTATCAAAAATTGTCTATTTAGTTAAAATATATTCTAAAGTGCCACCAGCATTGAAGGCAAAAATGAACTGGTTTGTCTTGTTTGTTTGTATGTTGTTTAGTGTTTTCTAAGCACATGCTTTAAAACCAGTTAATGTTTGTCTTCAATGCTGGTGGCACTTTATAATATATTTTAACTAAATAGACAATTTTTGAAAATATATATTTTTCAATAAAATACTACTTTCTACAAACCTAGTCTCTATTTCAGTCATTGCAAGTAACCACTTTTCCGCCTACTTTTTATGGAGCTGGAGGAATGGCCTCTGAGTGGCCTCCTCCGATACAGTAGAATTTGTCCGAAATTTAGCCTGTGTCTACAGGTCATTGTCCAGCAGAAGTCGATCTCGATACTGGGTTCTGTTGAATGAGTATGCTGGAAAACCAGCAGCCGCTCAGCACTCTCAGCCAATTGGTGTGAGCTTTAACAAGTGTGTTCTGGTGTGGAAGGGGGGCGGTCACCCTCTCAGAACACAATAGCTCAGCGGGGAGATGGCTGTACTAACATTGCATAGTTAGTACAGAGACCTCCTCATTTTGTTTTTTTAATCGCCCCACTTGGCTGAACAAAAAAAAAAAAAAAACGTACTGTGTGTACTAGGCAAAATCTGAGGCAGCTGTGCTTGTTAGCCAGTCGGCTTCTAACTTCAGCTTGCTCAATTAAGCTTTGACAAAAGAATTGGAAGCTGATTGGTTTCTTTGCAGAGCTGCACTAGATTTTGCACTCTCCAGTTTTAGTAAATCAACCTAAGAGTGTATTTCCACTTTTGCAGCCAAAATGTGATAACTACTTTATATTTGTTACATAGCATAGCTATTTCACATAGCATAACTTGCACTTACATTTGCTAAAGCCCACTGTAAGCCGATGTCACAGAATCAATACAGGCTTTATGTATTGATTCTGTGACATCGGCTTACAGTGGGCTTTAGCAAATGTAAGTAAACTAAATATATACAGGCAACCATATTGACATCTGGCTCTGAACATAGCTGAGAGCTGAAGTCAGCTATCTGCCCCCTCTCCAGCCTGGCGCTTCAGTGAGCGATGGAGGAGCAGAGCAAAGAGTAGTGATTGGCCATCGCTGCTCTTTGCTCCGAGAAGACTGAGATCTGAGCGATCAGTCATGTGATTGCTCAGTTCTCGAGTTTATAGCTGACGGAGGGAGCTGCAGCAGAAGACCGATGCTGCAGCATAGTTGTGAGTATATGTTTGTTTTTTTAAATAGCCCAAACATCTCCTTTGACCCTGTTTGTACTGGGCAGGTAGATCTTCATTATAAATTATAACTAGATTTGAGACTGTCAGTCCTAGCAAACAGATAAAGGTGTAGTGGCTTAACTTCTTGCATTGTATGTCAATGAGGAGAGACTTGGGATAAGCTCACTCAGACATCGTTCAGAAAACCGTTGCAGTCTGCAATGACACCTGCTCTGAGAAACATCTAAAAGGCAAGACATTTCAAAAATGTTTTTAGGCATGCTGTGTGAATGGGAACACATAATAAACCTATAGTGGGGTGTTCACAAATTGGACTGCAAAAGTGGAAATACGCTTTAACCAGTTGCAGCTCGTCCCTCCGGGTGGACACCATGTGGTGTCCTTTCAGGCATGCTAAGTGCGCCTGCCCGCAGGGCCGTGCTGCGGCACGATCTGTCACCGGCCGTGTACCCCGGACACGGCCGATGACAGATCTGTGTACCGGCCCCGTTGCCAGTACCATGTGACCTGCTGTGACCAATCACAGCAGGTCACATGACAGTTGTATACAATAGATGGCTTCCTTTCATGCCATCCATTGTATACTAGTGTGTCTAGCTGTGAATGGTTACAGCGATCACATGCACAAGCTGGGCCAATCACAGCCCATCTGTATCATGTGATTAGCCGTGGCCAGTCACAGCTAAGCACAAAAAAAAAAGCCCTGAATGAATCGATGTCATTCAGGTAAATGCTTGCTTATAGCAAAGTAATTCTTTGCTATAAGCAAATTGTGTAAAAAAAAAAAAAAAAACTAGTCATAGTGAAATATGAAAAGCAAATCTTAAACAGAAATTTTTTTTATAAAAAATTAAAACTAATAAAAAAAAAATTATCAATTTTTTTTTTTTTCGTACTGTCACCAGTCAGTGTACCTGATCACCGCCATGCCAGTTATATGATGACGCTGTACTGCACTGGTGACAGTATGTTAAAAAAAAAAATTGTGAAAATAATTTTTTTAATTTTCCGAAACATTATGAAAAAAAATTCAAAACTTCAAAAAACTTGCCATGCCTCTTATGAAATACGTCGGACTGTCTACTTTGCAAATCCCCCAGATATCATTTAGGGGATATCTGTACTGTTCTGACATTCTTGGACCTCAAGAAATTAGATTGGCCATCAGTACTTCAGATTAATCAATTTTCAGATATATCCCATAGTTTGTGAACTCTATAACTTTCCTACAAACTAAATATTACATCCTAATTTGGGTTATTTTCACCAAAGACATGTAGTAGAACACATCTTGATCTAAATTTATGAAGAAAAATTATTTATTTGCAAACTTTTATAACAAAGAAAAAGAAAAATGTTTTTTTTTTTTTTAATTTTCGGTCTTTTTTTTGTTAATTTAGCAATAAAAAAAAAACCCCAGTGGTGATTAAATGCCACCAAAAGAAAGCTCTAGTTGTGTGAAGAAAATGATGATAACATTTTAGCTCGGGTGCAGTGTTGTATGACCGCGCAATTGTCATTTAAAGTGTGAGAGAGCTGAAACCTGAAAATTGGCCTGGGCAGGAAGGGGATAAAAGTTCCCTGTATGGAAGCGGTTAAAGAGCCGTTGTCCTTTAATGTATTTTATTAAATGGATTTTACAGGTAGGACAAAACTCCTCTTTTTGTGTTTCAGTGAAATATTAGCCATAGTGTGCCTGCAGGGGACACATCTAACGGAAGACACTACTGATCTCTTTTGTAGGTTCACAATCTAACATTTTGCTGCACTCCTGCCTTGCTTATTATTTTAGACTTCTTAGTACCTCTCTTCATAAGAATATTCTGATCACCTGCCAGCTCAGTAAAAAATTGAGGCAGACAGATATTTTTTCTTGCATTGTACTGGTGCATATTACTCTATTTGTTCTTGAAAATATTTACATTCCCCCTTCTATATTTATTACAGGTACTTATAGAGTGCTGAAAATTTAGGCAGCATTTTATATATTGTACATTTACATCAGTCCCTGCCCTCAAGGAGCTTACAATCTAAAGTCCTTAAGTCACATTCATACATACACATACTAGGGCCAATTTAGACAGGAGTCAGTTAACCTACCAGCATGTACAGAGTGGGAGGAGACCAAAGTACCCAGAGGAAACCCACCTAGACTAGACAGGGAGGGGAAAACATGTAAAATCCAGACAGGTTGTGCCATGGTTGGGACTTGTACTAACCATCCTAGTGCTGACAGGTGGAAAGTGCTAAGGACTATGTTGCGTGTATATACAGTGGGGACGAAAGTTTGGGCACCCCAGCTAGAAAATTTGTATTAATGTGCATAAAGAAGCCAAGGATTTAAAATCTCCAAAAGGCAGATTAGACATTCTTATAATATGTCAATTAGATTTTATTTCCATCATTTACCTTTATAACAGAAAACAAAAAAATGGCGTCTGCATATTCAAGGAGTCCCAAGTGGCATGATAAAAGGGCACATTTTTATTGTACTTAGCCAGCCAAGAGTCTTTCAATTCTTGTTTGAGGTATCTTTGCCCATTCTTCCTTACAAAAGTCTTCCAGTTCTTTGAGATTTCTGGGCTGTCTGTCACGCACTGCTCTTTTAAGGTCTATCCATAGATTTTCAATTATGTTGAGGTCAGGAGATTGTGAAGGGCATTATAAAACAGGAGTCAGTTTACCTCCATGCAGGTAGACACAATTTTAACCTCATCGGTCCAGAACTTGTTTCCAAAATGCATCAGGCTTGTCTATAAGTGGGAAAAGAAGAGGTTTTCATGAAGACCATATTTGTACCTCTTTATAGGGAATAGTGTACCACAACTCCAGTGTCTGCCAGATCTTTCTGGAGGGATCGTGCAAAAAACGTGGGTTTTGACAATCCAGTTGGTCCTGTCCCACCACTGTTCCTGATGTCTTTCTTAGAGTGGAGGAGAAAATGCTTTGCTATCTTCTTATAGCCTTCTCCAGCTTTGTGAGCGTCAACTATTTTCAGTTTCAGTTTTCTAGACAACTTCTTAGAAGAACCCATGGTGCTGATTGTTGGGGCAAGGGTCAGATGAGTCTGGGCATTTAAAACCTTGAGATTGACATCACCTGGTGTTCCCAGACATGATTGAGAACAATCCATAACACTTTCAGGTCTCACTTGGCAAAGGGGGCAGTGCATGCTATAAATTCTGCAGGGTGCCCAAACTTTTGTTTTTTGTTTTCTGTTATTTTGTGTAAATGTGGAAATATAATCTAACTTTTGTTGACATATTATAAGAATGTCTAATCTGTGATGCCTTTTGGAGATTTTTTGCATTTTTCCTTGGCTTCTTTATGCACATTATACAAATTTTTAGCTGGGGTGCCCAAACTTTCGATCCCCACTGTATGTGTGTGTATGTGTGTGTGTGTGTGTGTGTGTGTGTGTATATATGTGTATATATATATATATATATATATATATATATATATATATATATACACACATACACACACACTGTGTAAATATATATATCTCTTTTTGCAGGTATAAAAATGTGCATTTTTTTTTCTTAGCCTGTAAAGCATTGCAGCTGCTAAAGAAAAACAGGTAGCACCAGCAAACGTTTAGCTAATTCCTGCTCATTTTCTCATTACATGTTGTTATTATACTGTATTCATACAACCGTTTATGCAGCGCTGTTATTTCATTCAGCAGGTTGTAAAAGGATCCCTGATGTTTTTTTAGGATGCACCAATAACCTTTCTTTGCAGCTTTGCAGAGCGGTTTGTGTCAATACAAAATGTATGGATGCAAATTTCACTGCAAAGAAAAGCATGCAGGGCCGCCATCGGGGGGACAACAGCCCATACTTATGTAGGGGGCCCAGGCATACTAAGTGGTCCAGACTCAGGGAGCGGAATGACGTTCAGGCACTGCCCAGGAACTCCATGAAGTGCTCCTGTCCTGGACTCCTACTTTTGATGGAAAATATCTGAATGGCGGACCTTATCCTATGTGGATCATGGCTTCGCCACTTAGCAGCCTGGGTTTTATCTTTCTTGCAATCCCCCTGCATCCTCCGCCACAGCATTCATCCTTATACAGCAGGTACTAGACAGAAGGCACTGTATGTCCAGAAAGAGGATGGGAGATGCACAACTTTTCAGGTTAATAGACAGGTGATTTGTTGCGGGGCGGTCCTAGCAATGAATCACCTGCCTGTTAACATGGAAAGTTGGGCAGCTCCCGCCCTCTGTCTGGACATGTTTCTATGACATACGTTATCTTCTACCTAGTACCTCCTGCATATGGTAGGATTAGTAATGTTGGAAGACTGGGGTGCAAGGAAAAGGGAGGTTGTGAAAGGTAATGGGATGCAATGAAGGGGTGGCTGTGAAGCAGTTGGAGGTGCAAAAAAGGGGGGCTGTAAAGGGGAATTGGGTGCAAGGAAGGGGGGCTGTGAAAGGGACTGTGGTGCAAGGGAGGGGTAGGTGTGAAGGGGATGGAGGTGCAAGGAAGGGGGGCTGTGAAAGGGACTGTGGTGCAAGGGAGGGGTAGGTGTGAAGGGGATGGAGGTGCAAGGAAGAGGGGGGGTTGTAAAGGGGGCTGGAGTGCAAGGAAGGGGACTTGGGTGCAAGAAAGGGGCTGTTATAAAGGGGGCTGGAGTGCAAGGAAGGGGGGCTTTGATGGGTGTGCAAGGAAGGGGGCTGTGAAGGGGTTGGAGGTGCAAGGAAGGGGGGCTGTGAGCAAGACTGGGGTGAAAAAAAAGGGGGCTGCAAAGGGCACTAGGGTGCAAGGAAGGGGGGCTGTAAAGGGGACTGGGGTGCAAGGAAGAGGGACTGTGAAGGAAACCCTGGTGTACATGCTTGGGGTGCACAGCTCCTCCATAGGTGAGGGGTCCATTGATGAGAAGTCACTGAATGAATATATGGGATGTCTCTGCTGCATTGGGCCATCTCCTTGCTGGATTAGGATGTCTCTGCTGAATATATGGGGATGACTGCTGGATTGAGCTGTCTGTTTAAATATATGGAGATGTCTCTTTGCTGCATTGGGGGTCTCTTTGAAAAGGTTGTGCAGTTAGCATTAGTGTAGGGTCCAGCTCAAAAGAATCCACCTTGTTGTGGTTGCAGGCTGTATATTTTTGGCTAAAGTATATTTCCTTACTGGTAAATCTTGAAACACTGATGACTTGGAATACACTTTTCATTTTCATATATTAGGTTGTAAGAGTGTTTAAATAAAGGTGAGTGCACTGAAGCACTCGTGGGATGGCCCACGGGTGGATTTGGTGGGACGGCTAGTGGGAGGGCCCAGGCCTAAAGTTGTGTAAGGTGCCCCAAAATTTCTGATGACATGCGATTTGATCAGGAATGCAATTCCTGTCTAAATTGCATGCGATTTCCCCCTGTTCCTGTGTGAACCCAGACTTGTCTAGCCTGAGTTCACACAAGAGCGGTGCGGGAAAATCTCCCTGCACTGATCCCATACTGAGCGGAGAGTTGGGAGAGAAGGGCATGTGGGGATGTATACCTTGGTGTCAGCCATCAGGCGGAGGATGGAGACAGATTAAGCGGCAATGCTCCAGATTCTCAGCTGTAGAACTCGGTCCGCGATTTTGCGCCGTGTTTTTCTCCCTCCCACTTGCTGCATGCGGTTGCAAGGAGAGCAGAGAAAGTCACAGGGATTTCAAATCACTGCGGCTTTCTCTCCTCTCCTTGCAGGAATGACAGTACAGTCTAGATGGCTTTTGATTTGTCAGTACTGTCACCATCACTCCCCACTCTCTTGTCACTGGCTTTGATTGAAAAAAGCCTCAGCAAAGCCTGTGAAAACAGGAAGTAAGGGGAGAGAGCTGCTGTAGATGGGCACAGTGCTGGTTCAAATGAGGGCTCAGGAAGGTATAAAGGGAAGTGAGGAGGAATACTACTACCTAAGCATTTTTTACCGTAATGCAAGGAATGCATTTAGGTGAAAACAATGTTTAGGCTTCATAACGACTTTAAGTCATTTAAAGAACTGTCTAATAAAGCAGTTTGTGTTCTCCATTGATTGGCTGTGTTCGTTGCAGTGTAGAAATATGTTTAAGGCTCCTGTCAGTGAAAACAAACAAGTATTTTCTTAGCATTACTGCTTATATTTTGTAACTATAGTTACAGTCTTGAAAGTAATAGCTGTTTTGTTTGATTTTAAACTGATTTTATAAAGAGAGAAAAGGGTTACAATAATATTAGTGTGTGGTATTAATATGATCATTGTAAAATTAAGGTAATTTTTTCCTGTAAATTATTGTTTGATTACAGAGTCGGTTGGCAGAAATTCAGAAAAACCTTTCTAAAGTAATGAAGCTGGATAATGATGTAAAAGCTTTGGAAAGCAGGAAAAAGAACATGGAAAAAGACAATCAGGATTTAGAAGATAAAATAGAGAAGGTTTGTCAAAAATGAGTTTAAAAAATATCTGTTGACAAAGTACATACAATCATTATTACTCCCAGGGTTATGGATGAGTTTACCTTATAGTGTAATGACTAGCAAATATACATTTTATATATATTTTTTTTTATATATTCTCAGTTGATATGATTTCAGATTTTCCAAGGGACAGACGAAGAGCTTAGTGAAATGTACCATAACCATCAGAAGACTGTGAGAGACAAGGAGAGGAAGCTCAATGATTACCAGCGCGAGCTTGACCGAGAAATTAAAGACTGCCAGAGGTTGAACCGAGAAAAGGGGGAACTGTTGGTGCAGCAAGGTAATTTGCTGCACATTTCTTTCAGGATTTATGAATCAGTTGATACTTTTAATATTAAAATCTAGTTTGTAAAAATCACGATTTGACCTTGCCTTCGAACATAGATTTTCATTCAACTAAAACTGCTTTGCTTACACTTAGTGTAGGCATACCTTAAAAATGAATTTTTTTGCTCTGTTTTGGTTTAAATATACTATATGTTATATGTTGCAATTAAAGAAGAATACAGAAAATAAAATTTGAGTTTTCAGTCTCCCCTTCCCCCTTGGTTTCAGCTGATATAGTTTGCATTATCAAAATAATAATATAGAAGGTTTAAATGATTAAGGAGGTAGGAGTGATATATAATGTTGTTTAATTTCCAATAACAATCTTACATTTAAATTAAAAGAAATGGGGAAAAAAATAAAATTGGATGTTAGACTTAAATGTCTGGAAGGGTTGGAATGGTTCAATAGTAATAGTGAGCAGGTTCAGCATTTCGTTTATGTTTGCATTTTAGCCCCCATTGTTTGGAAACACAAAGAATAGGCACAATGTCCCCAGAGGCTGGAGGACTGAGTAGCCTCTACAGACTGGCAAGCAGGGAGCCCAGAAATATCAGCCTTTCCTTCTTGTGTGCTACAGTATGAGACATGCACAAACACATATTGTAGTGTGCTGCATTAAAAAATGGAGCAAGCCATTTTTTTTCTGTTACTTTGGCAGCCAGTTCTTTGCGATGCAATGCTACTAATGTTGACTTGTATCATAAATGGCCCACGGCAGAAGGGGGCCTTAACATTTTTAACCTGCACTACTAGCCATGTGATTTGTGGACTATGAAGAGTTACGAGGGGTCTTCACAAAATGGCACAGTTAATACTTTCCAAATGTTTTAGGACACTTCCAGCTTACTATATTTAATCTGCTATATTGAATCTTTGAAATACTAACATATATTTTACAGCAGTTCACAGTTTAATAAGTTAGACACTTTTATTGTTAAAAGAATCATCATGTGTTGAAAAACACATATATAACTGCCTTATGGTTGATTTTAACCTAACCGATAAGGAAACTTTCAAACAGCATTTGATGAACATTTCCTATTCCCCTTTCCCCCCTCCCAATGTGTTTACCTTTGGGCAGTGTGTCTTCTACTTCCCACTGCCTAAACATGTGCAGTAGAGCACCATAGATCTTGGGGTCAGGAGATTGATCTGTTCCCCTTCCATTTAGAAGACTACAGTATTCTACATGTACATGTAGGAAATGGGGGCTGGACCCATCATGTTGTTGACAGTGCTACTGATCTCCTTTAATGTTCACTGATCCCTGCACATACCAGCAAGTAGCTCCCAACAGAGGAATTTTCCCATTGCTAAATTTTTCCAGCTTTCTTCAGTGGATTATGTGACATGTAGATGCCACAAATAAGTTATTAGTGAGAGGAGACTTTCTGTGTTGAGAGCTAATTTCTGGTATTTTCAAGGATCACTGCAGGCTGGAGGAGATCAGCAGCACTGTCACTATATACCAGGGTCCACTTTGGGGGGTAGTGTACAATCTTTGGGATAACACAAAATGTTCCAATACTTTAATAACATCAGTTCCATAATTGCAAAAAAAATGTTGTTCCTGCAAGGAATCCATTGAGCTTGTAGCTTTCTGTGCACTTTGCCTCTGCAGAGAAAAGTCGTAGCAATGTTAAAAGTTCTGCACAGAGTTTACCTTTGTGAACTACACCTTATGTTACGATGATAGGGAGTTGGTTTTTGTTTTCCTTTCCTAGGGTAATGTTGGTGATTCAGTTACAATAATTTCTATTTTGTTCAGGTCGCCTGCAGATGGAGGCGGACCAGCACCAGCAACATATCCAAACTCGAGATTTACTTATGAAGACCATGGCAGCTCAATTGGAGCTTGATGGATTTGAACGAACGCCATTCAATCAGAGACAGGTAGCAAGCTTTCAGAAGCTAGTGAAAGAAAGGCAAGATAAAGATGAAATGGAGGCTAACCAGATAATGGTAAGAGCTATGCAATGATATGAAGAAAAATATTCAATTTCCCACAAAGGCCTTATACTGTATAATACTCAATAATATGAGTGGATGTACATGGCAGACGTTCTTTGTTCGGGGAATACATAGGTGTATGCACATTGCCCAATAGACAAATGCATCAAAGTACACCTAAGTATAGCTGTGTACAGCCATTCACTTCAGTGGTACACTCAAAAAAGTCTGTGTGCATGTGGCCTGTATGTGTATTTTTTCTTTTTCTTCCAAAAAGAAAGCCTTTATTAATAAAGAACATAATGGTACAAAAGACTTGTACAGGGTGCCTAAGCGAAACAGCAGGCACAACCTACAGCGACACAGCAGTAACTCAAACAAGAAAACACAGACAATGCAATGATACAAAACCCGACTACAATAAGGTTATGCTTGCAACAAACCGGAGCCAATATAGTATAGTATGGGGTGTAATTGCATCATATCCCCTGCGCTCGTGCTTCGTCATGCAGGGCTGTAGCGATAGGAAGAGTGGTCATGGCACCTGAACGTAGGATTCGGCCAAAAGCTTATGGCAATGGGGAGAGTTACAAAACCGGCATACGTTGCGGTAGGAGCCATTGATGGAAGTGGGGAGAGTGAAAGAATGGCATATCTAGTGTTCCAGGTAGCATATCAAAGCGAGAGACGAGAAGAAAAGAGAAAGGAGAAAAGAGAGAAAGGGAGGTAGAAAGAAAAAAGATAGAAGCAGAGAGGGGGGATGGGGGTGGAAAGAAATAAAAAAAAAAAAAAAAAAAAAAATAATAGTGGGGGGGGGGGGGGGGACACATATGGGGTGAGTAATGACAGCAATATCTGGGGTTAATCATGTATGGGGATAGGAGTTAAGCTAACGCCAGAGTCGCGTGGGAAGGGATACATTGTCGAGGAGAGTCTCAGTGCCTACCACAAAAACTACTGTAAAGAAGTAACATCAGCAGGAAAGCCGGACCAAGTCAGACCTGATGGTCCATAAGAGACCTGTATGTAGGAGTAGTTGTGAAATAGATCCAGCAGGCCCAAATGTGGGAAAATTTAGTGGGAGTGTCAAGGGCCGTCGCAATTAGTTCCTCCATGTCTGCCATTTTACCCACACGGACAAGCCAATCACGAACAGAGGGGGGGGCGAGAAGAGCCCCAAAGGACGGGAAGGCAGAGTCTGGCCGCGTTGGTGTATTTTTTTCTTAATCATACATCACAGGATATGTGACTTCTTCTAACTCATGACCAATGGGTTATACTGCCACCTTCAGCTGGCAAGGCTAATAAAATCCAGCACAGTTATAACCCCTCCTACTCTTAGAATGCCTTCAGTTCTTTGCTAGTGTCCTTAGGTGATGGATGTGGTTCTTTTAGTTTTGAGAGAATGTTTGTTTGTTTTTTCCCTTTTTTACTGAGATTTGACTTCAAGCAAGTTTTCTTTCCTGTGTCCTACTGCTTTGCCTTGTGGGCTGTACAGCAGCATTAATCCTGATCAGTTACCTTCAGTTTGCCAGGCCCAGAGGGGACTGTATCTGGAACCCTTAGTGGAGAAGGGAAGGGATGGCCTATAAGGTTACTGGATAGCACTAGACCCTGCTGGAAGCACTCACCCGGGCACACAGTGTGGAGAGAGATGGCAGGGTGCTGTACAGCTCCAGGTCAGTGGTCCACTGCAGTGGAGCCCAGACCCTGAAGACCTTCCTGGGTATGCTTTACTGAGGCAAAAATTGAGCTTAGGCTCTAGAGATTAAGGCAAGCTTGAAAGGACTCAATTCATCCTATGCTAGGTCAAAGAGGAATTCCTTTCATCAGTCACAGTCACAAGCTGGAGTATGTCCCATTCTAGAACTAAAGGTTCTGAGCAAGTTCCTCTGTGTGCAAAAATGTTGTACTTTTAAATTTTGGAATTAACCCAAGCTGGGATTTGTTTTTCAGTCAGGGGATTTCCTGGCATTGGTAGATGATATCAAAGGTGCCTATTTGCGCATTCTTAAATTTCAGTCCTCCCAGCATGACCTGCTGTTTGCAATGGGTAAGTGCGATTACTAGTTTGTGGCACTTCTATTTGGCCTCTCCACAGCACCCCAAATCTTCACCAAGGTGCTAGCCCCAGTTCTGAACTAGATGTGGTTCCAAAGGATCCACATTACAGGGTACCTGGATAACCTGTTTTCGGCCAAGGTCTGTGCAGACCCGCAGCAATTTGCATGGGTTCAAAACCTCCAGAAGTCAGTGTTGAAACCATGTTGCTTGGGGTATAAGGGCCTGGCTCTGGCTCTAGGCATGGCCAAGTTGTGAGTTTTCCTGCCCCAGGAGAAATTCCAGTCCCTCCATTCTCAGTTTGAGCTTCTTTTGCTTTTTCTTTTTTATGAGGGTGCTGGGCCTGATGGTGACTGTCATTAAGGCAGTCCTGTAAGCCCAGTTTCACTCCGGACTGCTGCAGCCCAACATTCTGGCAGCTTGGGACAAACTTTCAGTCCCTGGATTTTCCCATATGCTTGATCAGTAGGAGCAGGCTAGCCCCGGAGTGGTGGATCTCCAGTCCAGTGCTGGATTTGGGGAAGTAATTTCTCCTGATATATAAATAAAGGTGCAGCGCTAATAAACAAGTGTGAATATTATTTACTATCATAAAGTCCAATATTACAGTGTCCAACAATACTGTGTGCATCAATAGTGACCAGCATTATAAAGTGTCCAGCAATACTGTGTGAATAAATAGTGACCAACGATGTAAAATGACTGAGCGGCCGTGTTTGTGTTTGTATCGTGTTAATGCTCCACGTGGCTGCATTTGCTATTAATAAAAATACTTCACTATATGCCGCTGTCTCTGGGCTCTGTTATGTGAGCTCTTACTTCAGGAGGTGTCATACTTTGGATCGATCACTGACTGGCGAAGGGGGGGTTCATTTGTAAGAATGCCCACATAGGAGCCCATACTGCAGTGGAGGCCATCGGGTCATTTCCCTATTTTTCCTGCAGTGGAGGAATACATCCTTGGGAGGGATTTCTATACAAGGCCTGTTTTGCTTCTTGCTTCGGGTGAGTGCATAGTGGTGGAGGATTGTCACAGAAGTCACTTTACATCGTTGGTCACTATTGATTCAAACAGGATTGCTGGACACTTTATATTGCTGGTCACTATTGATGCATACAGTATTGTTGGACACTGCAATATTTGACTTTATGATAGTGAATATTATTCACACATTTGTTTCTTGTTTATTTATTAGCTCTGCACCTTTATTTATATGTTTATGTAGTGGAAGAAGACGGTTTGCCACTTTGTGCTAGCTACTCATTTACTTCTTTGCGCTCACTACATAATGATTTTTTGCAAATTCCTCCTGATAGCTTGGGTGCTGAGGACGGATGCCAGTCAGTGGGCTTGGGTGGAGTGTTTGGGTCCTTTTAGTTCAGGGGATGTGATCTCCTGTTCAGGTTGAAGTCGGACAATGCATACATCAGTCATCATGGAGTTTCCAGAAGTTACACTGCTCTATCCTTGGCAGAATATCACTTTGTGGTCTTGTTTATGGTACACGTTCTGGGTGTGGAAAATTGAAATGTCCCTTTTCTTAGTTGCCATTATCTGGATCCCAGGGAGTGGAATACCTAAAGGTATCCCAAGCCCTTTGTTGCAGGTGGAGAGTTGATGGACATTAACCTTCTGGTCTTTGGGTTCAACAACAAACTGGACAAGTTTGTGGTAAAGACCAGGGATATGCTATCCTTTTCCATGGATGTTCTGGTGACTTTGTGGGATCAGGTCAATCTGCTTTGTGCCTTTTCTCCTCTACAGTTCCCGTGTCACTTCTTGCTATGCAGGATAGAGGTGGAAGCCATTTCTGTGATTTACCACTGCACCGTAAATTCCCAGCAGAGCTGATGTTTATTTAATTAAATTAATTTATAGAATTACATGTGGAAAGCTTATTTCATTTAGTGTGAAGTAAGGGGGTTTCACCCTAGGTAGTACAGTGTAGGGAATTTGCTATTCTTCCTACAGCTGTGGTTGGACCAGTGTGTGGCCTTGAGTAACATCAGATTTTGGCTTTAGATGTCCTCTTCCAGAGACCTGTTGCTTTTCATTTGTTGGTTAGAGCATTTGTGCAGGCTGTTGCTCATTTTGTCCCTGCTGCACATTCTCAGTCGACTCTTTGGGACCTCAGCTTAGTGATGGCGGCTCTGCAGAAGCCTCCATTAAACCTGTTAAGGATATTGACCTGTCCATCCATATGCTTTTCTTGTGGCCATTACCTTAGCCCAGTAATGCCCCCACCCATTGGAAATTAATGGCCTGTGTCCTTTGATGTACTTCAAGCAAATAATTTTACAGGTATGTTGAAAATCTTGTTATTGTGTTATTGTATGGCATCAGCTGCAAGATTGTGGACGGTGTTTATATGTCACTTTGGCTTCCCACATATATATGGTGACATGCTTCAGGGTTTGTGGTTTGTGGCTGTCTTGGAGAAAAACCTTTTGCTTTCTCTGAATCATGAAATGGTTTGTTCTTGAGCTTGATGGTTTGTAGAACTTTGGGTGGGATAAAGTCTCTGTTTCTAGGTCCACATCTTATCTAATAGATAGACCTCAGCTGTGGATAGGCCTTTTATATACAATATGTGATCTTACTAAGGCTCAGGGCTCTCTCTGTTGTGAGAGCTTGCTGCTGTGTGAAGACAGAACAGTAAAAAAAGGTACAGTTGCTGCCTGTTTGTGTTGGAAAACCCATTAGGAGGCATCCTGTGGAACCTGACTTTCCATAAATTCCCATGTCTCATGGCAGGAAGTTATCATGTGACTATAAGTGTCATGATGCGAATGAGTGAGAAACTCCTTCTGCTTTGTGGAAGTGAACAGCAGAGCTGTAGTAACCAGAAACTGCAAGGTTGGATTCTTTGGTCAGGAGGTGCTTACGGTGGACCTTCACTTAAAAGTGAAAGTACTGCTCATCCTCCTTCTCCTCCATTGGTTTCTGCTGCTGTCAGTCAAATTCTGGAAGGAGTGGGTGGGGCCGAGCTATTCTGTATGTTTCTATGGACACACACTGCCTGGCCCAATATAAAGCCCACACGAGTGCCCTCATGGCAAGCGGCTTGCATGGGGGCACTCAGAGAAGAGGAGGAGCCAAGATCTCCAGCGGGGGACCCTAGAAGAAAAGGTTTGGTGCCGCTCTGTGCAAAACCATTGAAAAAAGCAAAAACTTTACATTAAGTTTAAATCATACACTAAATGAAAGTGGCTGTGAAAGACATTTTTTGGACCTGTGGATTTACTCAGAAGTTATACTTTATCATGACGTGAAAGACATGAGGACCTGTGATAGAAGTTATAATCTGACGTAAGGAAGTATATTCAGCCACCTTATTGCTTTCCATAATATTTATACCCTGCATCTAATATAATCTAATCTTCTATTAACTATATGCCATATATGTAATATGCAATCTTATGCTTTATTAATGATGCTTTGGGACTGTTGAAAGCAACTGGAGCAGAAGAGCTTGTGATGTACTAAGCTTGTAGCTGTCCACTGATTTGTAAGGTGCAAGCAGTCACTGCCAGGAAGACAGGTGCTTTTGCTGAGTGCCAGCTGCAAACCTTTTTTTTTTCTCCCTTCATGTTTTAATATTATGAAGATTTATTCTTAGCAGTCTTTACTATTTGAAAATACAAAGTGTAGGTTTGGTAAAATATTTTCAAATCTGCCAATATTTTGAGTAGTTTTATTTCCTAATTGCAGAAGGAGTTTTCAGACAAAGAAGCAGCTAAACAGAGGCAAATAGATGAGATCAGAGACAAGAAGACCGGCCTGGAACGAACGATTGAGTTAAAGTCTTCCATGCAGAACAAAAAACAGGGAGACCTAAGGAACATCAAAACTGAGCTACAGCAACTGGAAGGTTCCTCTGACAGACTGCAAGAGCTTGATGAAGAACTCCTAAAAACGGTGAGCTGTATAATTGTGTGGATTAAAGAGTAACTCCACTTTGTTGAGAGAACAACTCCTCTGGGTAATCCATGTACATTGCAGGGATTTTAAAAACTACGTAGCAGTTTCCTACATTTTGCTGCTATGAAGAAATGGCTTTGTTTCACCAGACTGACCTCATAGTCAGATGCCACTAGCACTCTGATGTTAACATATACACTCATATATTAGTGCAATGACACATTAGTCAAGTAAGCCAACATTTCGGGGCTGTGCAGGGTCCCTTCCTCAATAGTCAATAGTCACTATGTTGTGTTGCCTTGAAGAAGAGATCCTGCGCTGTCCCAGAATGTTGGCTTATGTGAATAATGTGACATTGAACTAATAAATTAGTGTATATGTTTGCAACAGAGTGCTAGTGTGTTGAAAGCAGTGCTGTCTTCATCCTTTGATGAAGTGATCTCATACTCATTTTGAACTGGAGGGTCTAGTTCAGTGTTATCAAGCTGATGCAGTTTCTGTGTGTGATGAGAAAAGCTGCACTGTCTGCTTTTTTAAGGCGTTTTGTACACCAACAGCTACCTTCAGGTAGCCATATTGCATTGAATGTTAGAGAAACTTACAGCCCTGATTGAAAATGAAAGGTAATTTTAATAACATTCATTTACAACATGGCTTGTGTAGCTGTTGTTCATGCTATATTACTTATTTTATTTTTATTTTTTTTCTATATTTTTTTCCATGAAAGTGGAGATACGCTTTAACGCACATGTGTAGAAGTAGCAAATCCTGTGACTGGACAGTCAATACACCAGGTTTCTGCAAACACATGAATATGTCCTATGGCAGTTTATTCATTTTATTCGCATTGCAAAACTCCATCTGTAAGGTAGCACAAGATTGGAATGAAAAAACAAAATTCTTGAGAATTTTGTATTTTTCAAAGTAACTCCTGATAAACTAGCAAAGATTTGCTCAGCGAGTGACCCAGTGTGACTTCTATCGAAGGATCCCACTGAAAAAATTTTGTCCCGAACAATGGCTTTATCCAATCAGATGCTGCCGCTGTTTGGGTATTCTTTCTTTTTTTTGTGCTGGTGGGTAAATGCAGTGTTAAAATGGAACACCGCAATACTTAGCCTCTGCTTCAACAGTCTGATGCCCACCATGTCCCTGGCCGGTGCCGGCATGCTCTCCCTGGCTTCTTTTGGACCGGTGCAGGATGATGTCACTACCTTTCTTGCCAGCTTCTGAAATCGGTATGAAAAAAAAAATGTTTTTTTAGATCTAAACAATCAATAGAATTAGAATCAATTAATATTTAGAAAAGGTTTCATTTTGTTTTTATAGTATTGAGAGGCTAGTTTAATTTCCACTTATTATGTAGAAAATGTATCTTTGGATATTGTGTATTAACATATGCTGGAGAATAATAATTGGATCATATGTGGGTTTTGTGTTACAGGAGCGGGAACTGGAGAGTGTTGAACGGAACTGCAATGTAGAAGCTCTGAGATCAGAGGTTGAACAGCTTCAGAATCAGAAGTCTGAACTGGACAGAACAGTGCGAAAGCTGGATCAGGAAATGGGGCAGCTCAATGCCCACACAATGACACGCACACAGATGGACATGCTGAAAAAGGATAAAGTAGGGACATCCATTATATTTTCTGGTGTCTTGTTTATAGAAATTACTGAGACATATACAGGGCATTCATAAAGTATTCAAACCCCCTTCACTTTTTTCAGTTTTGTTATGTCACAGCTTGATACTACAGTTGTTTGAGTTAAATTTTTTTCTCACTAATCACACTCAGTACCCCAAAATGACAAAATGAAAACAGAATTTTAGAAATTTTGCAAATGTATGAAAAGAAACAAAACGGAAATATCACATTGGCATAAGTATTCAGACCCTTTGCAACAACACTTGAAATTTAGCTCAGGTGCCTCTTATTTCTCTTGATAATTGCTGAAATGTTTCCACATCTTGATTGGAGTCCACCTGTGGTAAATTAGGTTGATTGGACATGATTTGGAAAGGCATACACCTCTCTATAAAAGACCCTCACAGCTGACAATGCATACTGTATCAGAGCAAAAGCTATGAGGTCAACTAAACTGCCTGCAGAGCTCAGAGACAGGATTATTGCAAGGCACCAATATGGGGAAGGCTACAAAAAATTTCTGCTACACTGAAGTTTCTCAAGAGCAAGAAGTTGGCCTCAAGTGGAAGAAGTTTAGCACAAATAGGACTCCTACAAGAGCTGGCTAGCCGGCAAAATTGAGAGAGCAGGACAGAAAGGCATTAGTAAGAGAGGTGACCAAGAACCCGGTGGTCACTCTTACTCCGCCCCAGAGATCCTGTGTGGAGATGGGACAAAGTTCCAGAAGGACAACCATCAAGGCAGCCTTCCACCAACCTGGGTTTTATGGCAGAGTGGAAGCCCCTCCTCGGTGCAAAACACATGAAAGCCGGCTTAGAGTTTGCAAAAAAGCAACTAAAGGGCTCTGACTGCAAGGAACAAGATTCTCTGGTCTGATGAAACCAAGGTTAAACTGCTTGTCCTCAATACTAAATGTTATATCTGAAATAAATCAGGTACCACTCATCACCTGCCCAATACCACTGCAACAGTGAAGCATGGTTGTGTCAGCATCGTGCTGTGGAGGTGTTTTTCATTAGCAGGGACTGGGATACTGGTCAGGGTTGAGGGAAAGCTGAATGGAGCAGAGTGTAGAGATATCCTCAACGAAAACCTGTTCCACAGCGCTCAGGACCTCCAGACTGGGCAAAAGGTTCACCTTCCAACATGACAGCAATCTGAAGCCAAGAAAATACAGCAGTGGCTTAGGGATAACTCTGTGAATGTCCTAGTGTGACTCAGCCAAACCCCTGACTTGAACCTTATTGAACATCTCTGGAGAGACCCGAAATCAGATGTCCACTGATAGTCCCTATCCAACCTGAGTGAGCTTGAGAGGATTTGCAAAGAAGAATGGCAGAAAATCCCCCAATCCAACTGTGCAAAGCTTGTCACTTCATACCCAAAAGTACTCAAGGCTGTAATTGCTGCCAAAGGTGCTTCAACAAAGTACTGAGTAAAGGGTCTGAATATTTAAGTACATGTGATATTTCAGTTTTTTCTTTTTTAAAAATTTACAGACAGTTCTAAAATTCTGTTTTCACTTTGTCATGGGGTGCTGAGTGTAGATTAATGAAAAAAATGAATTTAGACAATTGTAGTATCAGGCTACAACACAACAAAATTGAAAAAAGTAAGGATGGTCTGAATACATTATGAATGACATAAGGGGAAAAAAGCTGTCCAAAGTTGCCATGCCGTATGTGAAAAAGTAATTACCCCCCTTGCTAAATCATATAATGAACTGTGATTAACCACATTTTTTGGAAAGCGGAGTTAAATTTTACCTGCCACACTCAGTGCTGATTACTGCCAGACCTTTTGAATCAAGAAATCAACAAAAAGAAGTTGTCTGACAAAGTGAAGCACGCTACAATATTCCAAAAAGCAACACATGCGACAATCTAAAGAAATTCAAGAACTGATAAGAAACAAAGTAATTGATGTATCTGTCTTGAAAGGATTACAAAGCCATTTCTAAGGCTTTGGAATTCCAGTGCACCATTGTGAGAGCCAATATCCACAAATATAAAACATTTGGAACAGTGATGAACCTTCCCAAGAGTGGCCGGCCTACCAAAATTACTTCAAGAGCACCACAATTAATCCTTTAGGAGGTCATAAAAGAACCCAAAACAACATTTAACCACTTGCAGAAATACTGCTACAGGGCAGCAGGGCTGCACAAAATCACGCGTGTGTGTGTGTGTATGTATATACATACAGTATATATATGTGTGTGTTTTGCATTTCTGTGTACGGTACATGCGTACGCCGCCCTACCCACGCCACCTTTGGTGGCTAGGCATGGCAATCCCCGGTTCCCGGCCGGAGATTCCCCACCGTCACCTGTAGATCACCATGGAAAACTGACGGGAGAGATTTGTGTGTAAATGCCCAGTGTCATTAGTACAATGCCAGTACTGTATTAGTGTCTCTGAGGATATCAGTGGCAGTTAGTTCCCATCCAGTGTTAGAATGCCCATTGCAGTCCCGCTATAAGTCACTGATTGCCACCATTACCAGTATGAAAAAAAAAAAAATTCCAGTATATATACTGCCATTTATAGATGCTATAACTTTCATGTAAACCAATTAATTTACATGTATTGGGATTTTTTTTTTTTAGCAAAGGCATGTAGCAGAATACATTTTGGCCCAAATTTATGACGAAATTTGATGTTTTATTGGACATGTTTGATAGCAAAATTCAGTGATCAGTGACTTGTAGCGAACTGCGTTATTGTAGCAAACATTTTTACACTGACACTTTGTGGGAACCAGTGAGATTTATACAGTGATCAGTGCTAAAAATATGTTGGGAAGGCATGAACATCTAGAATGATCAAAGGGGTAACTGTGTGCCTAGCTATGTGCTTGGTGTACACTAGGTGGTGCTTTTAGTAGGGGAAATGAAGGATCATATTCCCAGCTATGCAGGGACATACGATCCTTCACTTCCCTCGCTTTCAGAACAGAGTTCTGCCTTGCTTACATAGGCGGAGCCCTGTTCTTTGTTCTGCCCGTCGATCAGCGGGTGCTGGCGAACATCCATTCACCAGCACTCGCAGATTGGCTTCTGCTGTAAGTATTAAATAAATATGTGATTTTGCACAGGAGTACTGACCTGTAGCAGTAAAACTGCTATAGGGTGGTCTGCAAGTGGTTAAAGAACTGCAGGCCTCACTTGTCTTAGTTAAGGTCAGTGTTCATGATTCAGCAATTCGAGAGAAACTAGGCAAAAATGGCATCCATGGAAGAGTTCCAAGGCAAAGCCACTGCTGACCAAAGAACACAAAGGCTAGTTTCGCATTTGCCAAAAAAAAATCTTGATTACCCCCAAGATTTTATGGCAAATATTTTGTGGATTGATGTGTGCGTTCTGCTACATCTGGCATAAAGCGAACGCAGCATTTCATTAAAAAAAAATCATACCAACAGTCATATATGGTGGTGGTAGTGTGATGGTCTGAGGCTGCTTTGCAGCTTTAGGACCTGGGCAACTTGCCATAATTGAGGGAACCATGAACTGCAGCCTTCAGTTCATGACCTCAAGCGCACTTTAGTTATACATCAGGACAATAATCTGAAACACACTAGAAAGTCCACTACCGAATGGTTAAAAAACAAAACAAAATTAAGGTTATGGAGTGGCCTAGTCAAAGTCTGGACTTAAATCTGATTGAGATGCTGTGGCATAACCTTAAACAGGCCATTCATGCTCAAACTGCAGTGTGGCTGAAATATGTACTGATGTGGGCTGGATAATGTGTTAGGAACGTAAGGAAGCCCCATCTGTGGTGCCGGGCAGTGAGCACAGGGCCCACTAGAAGACGTCGGGCCCTCAGTCCACCCTCATGAAGTCTTGTCTTTGATTCAGAGACATTCACGCCAGTGGCCTGCTGGAGGTCATTTTGTAGGGCTCTGGCAGTTCTTATCCTGTTCCTCCTTGCACAATGGATCAGATATGGGTTCTGCTGATGGGTTAAGGACCTTCTGTAGTCCTGTCCAGCTCTTCTAGAGTCTCCTGAAATCTCCTTCATGCTCTTGAGACTGTGCTGGGAGACACAGCAAACCTTCTGGCACTGGCACGTATTGATGTGCCATCCTGGAGGATTTGGACTGCCTGTGCAACCTCTGTTGGGGAAGTGGTTTTCTTTATTAAGCAACGCCCCTTTAGAATCAACTGTCTGCTGGACACCTGTTTAACCACTTTACAGTGGCCCTATAGCAAAAATACTGCTACAGGGCGGCAGGGGTACGCAAAATCACGTATATCTATGTGATTTTGTACTTTCGGGTAGGGAGCACGCGCGAGCCCTACCTGCGCCACCATTTGCAGCTGTCAATCACTGGGTCCTGGCCGGTGATTACTCACCGGCACCCAATGATCGCCGGGTAATACCAAGGGGTAGAAAACTGTATGTAAACAATATAGTTATCTCCCCTGTCAGCTCCAGCACCACTGCTTTGTATGGCTCTGCGTAGCAGAGCCATTCAAAGCAGTGTGCTTACAGTGGAAAGCACAGACAGCCCCATAGTAAACCGCACACAGTAGTTAACCCTTTGATTGCCGCATTTGTTGGAGTATTTTGTAGTGTAGTGTCCCAAAGAAAATTATGATTCTGAAAGGAAAGTAAAGGTTTTCTGCTGAGCTGATGATTTAAAACCACTGTCGCAAACTGCAACCATTCTGTATTTAAAATTTATTCTTGTGGCTCCGTCAATGAAAATAGACCAGGATCCAGTCCAGTGGCCAGCATAATTGGTCCTACATTGTATCTGAAGAAACTAGGTGCTTTGAAAGTTTGCGCTTCAAAATGTTTTTTAGTTAGCCACTTCAAGGTATCACATTTTTATTTCCTTCTACTACTACCCATGGCTCACATGGTACAACAATCCGCTGTGCTTGCTTACTCACAGAAGAATTTTGTTTTATTACATGTCTACAAACTCTAGTTGCAGAATGACAGCAGTGTTTAAACAGTATTTCCTAAATCGTAATTTCTCAAATCAATGTTTTTCTTTTTTTATTATTATTGGCTATTACCTATTCACATTTTTGTTTTCTTTTTTTTTTAGACTGAAAAAGATGATCATATTCGAAAGATAAAATCCAGACACAATGATGAATTGACTTCTTTACTGGGATATTTCCCAACTAAGAAACAGCTTGAAGACTGGCTGTATGCCAAGCAGAAAGATATCAATCTGACAAGGGATAAGCTGGCCAAGTTGAAGTAAGTTCCTGAAGCTGTTTTTTTATGTTTGCTGTAATAACAGAATTTATAATAGAGATTCTCTAATTTCTAAAAGAAATCCAATGAGCAATGTGTCATATCTCCCAGTGATCTCTACCTCTGAATGGGCATTTCCTCCTTGCATCAAAGAATAACTGTGTGGATTGCACTTTTTTACTCTTACAGTTATTGTATTACAGGGTTTCTCTGTTCTGGTGTCATGATTTGTAAAACAAGTCTAACCCTAAACCTTTTTAATGTAACTAAAGCATGAGATTTCTCTTACTTGTGGATGGACAGCTCTTTCTTGCATCACTGAAACTGAATTGCTTACTCATGCAGTCATTATAGTTCAGCACTTCCCTATTCTAATCACATAGTTTGTAAGGAAAACTCCATTTCTTGTGTGACCAGTAATTGAAAAAAAGAACCCTTCTCCCACTTGTGGCAAACTGTATTTTGGATGGGCATCTCTTTCTTGCGTAAAGGAAACTGAAATGTTTGGCTCTTGTTTTCTTATGAACTCATTAGAGAACATAATGCTGATGCTGCCCCATTGAGTTCAGTTTTAGTTTCTCTTTCTTGTTCAAACAATTTTGTTAACAATAAACCGGAATGACACAAACAAGGAGACATCGTTAATGTATACTAGGCATTAAAGTGACAGTAGGACATAATAAAATGAATGAGGGTCAAGGCATTAATGCCTATACATTTCTAACGGAAACAGGTAAATAAAAACCAACAACAGATCACAAAATGGTATCAGCCAATCATGGCAATGTCTCCCAAGTGCATTAAAGAAATAAGGGGAAGTCTGGAGGGGGTCAGACAGGGACGGAAGGGGGGGGGGGGGGGGGGGGGGGAGGGGAAGGGGAAGAAGAACAACAACCATGACTCCATGAACATTCATCAAGTTCACAACAGCCTCTACGCGCTACGCACGAGGGGTTATGGACCATATCCTTGGCGTACGGTACAGAACTCAAGGGAGAAGCAGTGATTCGTCAAAGTTAGACGGAAGGAAGTGCTCTACCCAAGGGCTCCATATGCGCAGGAATTTAGGGATCGTGTCAAGAACTGTGGCTTCCACCTTTGCGTGTATCATGGCTTGTGTTATTCTGGTTTTGACAGCCGCGACACTTAGGGTGGGAGATTTCAAGACTTTGCTATAACCTGTTAAGCCGCTGTCGTGACTTGCATAAGGAGCTTGAATTGCGAGTTGGAGATGCCAGAAGGGCATTGGTTGAGTAGGGCTGTTGTTGGGTCGGGCCGTATAGTGATAGTGCTAAATGTAGATATCATGGTAAAAATTTCATCCCAAAAGGTTCGGGCTACAGGACAGTCCCACCATATATGGTAATGTGTTCCCAGATCCGCACAGCCTCTGAAACAATTGGGCGAGTAATTAGGGGTACATTTTGCGATTCTCGCTGGGACCAATTACCAGCGGGTTAAAAAACTTTATAATTCGTTTCCAATGCTACAAAGTTCTGCGAAGACGAGTTTGTGTTGGCCCAAATGTGGTCCCAATCAGACGGGTCGAATTTCTTACCTAGATCCACTTCCCATTTATGTGTAAATAGAGGGGGGGACGTGATGGTCGAAGTGGCGAAGAGTGAGTATAAGCAGGAGATAAGCCCACGTCTGTGAGGGTCTTTGCAACACGCTCGTTCAAAGAGAGACATGGTGTCTGGCCGATTGGTTATTGTAGCGTATGGGGCGTAAAAGTGTTGTAGCTGCAAGTATCTAAATATCTCGGAGGCCGGGAGGCTATGCGTTTCCCGCAGCAAGGCAAAGGATTTAAACTTATTCCTCTGTAGGAAGTGATGCGTACGGAGCAAATTAGCAGAGGACCAGGCTTTGAATAAACGGGGTGTCTGCCACGCCGGGGGAAAAGCTGGGTTTCGTAGAAACGAGAGCACAGGATTATGTAGTGATTGGAGGAGGTAACGGGTTTTCAGTTTATAAGGATAAAAAAATGAGAAGTGATGGGGTTGGTTATAGAGCGGCGGTCTATTGGCCTCAACCAGAGTAGGTTAGCGGTGGATAAGGGATCACATTCTATTGATTCAAGCGCAACCCATTGAGGGATTTCAAAGGTTGCATGATATTTAGGTAATTGGGCTAAATGCGCTGCTTGATAATATTTGCTGATGTCGGGTAGGCCTAGACCTCCATCGAGCTTAGGGTAGTATAGGGTGGAGCGGGGTATACGAGGGCGAGTATTGCCCCATACATAGGAAAAGATGCAACGCTGCAGTGTGCGGAGGTAATGAGGTGGGACTGGGACTGGAAGGACTCTAAACAGATTTAGAATTTTTGGGAGGATTGACATCTTGATAACTGCTATTCTGCCTAGCCATGCGAGGGGGTGGGAAGACCATTTGGACAGAAGGGCAGAAAGGTGGTTTAGCATCGGAAGATAGTTAGCTGCGTAAAGGTCTGATAACTTAGGAGTCAGTTTGATTCCCAAGAAAGGGATATGACACTGTGACCAAGGGAATGGTAAAATCTGTTTCAGATGCGTCAACTCTTTAGGGGGGAGAGAAATGTTGAGTGCTGTAGATTTATTCGGGTTTATTATTAGACCAGAAAGTGCGCCAATTGCCTCGAGAAGCCGGAGTAGGGAGGGAGAAGAAGTCAACGGAGACGTGGGAAAGAGCAAGACGTCATCCGCAAAGAGACATAACTTATGGTGTGTGCCCCCTATCTCGAGTCCCCTGACATCCGGGTTAGCTCTAATTAAGAGGGCTAGGGGCTCTATAGCCAGAGCAAAGAGCAAGGGGGACAGAGGGCAGCCCTGTCTCGTGCCTCTGGAGATCGGGAACTGAGCTGACCTGTGCCCCAGATACCTAATTCTGGCCGAAGGCTCTCGATACAGCGAGAAGATCCAGGTTAAGAAATGTGGGCCAAAACCCCACCGATGCAAAATATAATCGAGGTATGGCCATGAGACTGTATCAAATGCTTTCCGGATATCTAGGGACAAGAAATATGCGGGAATATTACGAGATCTTGCTAAGTTTGCCAAAAGGGATGCACGTCTGATGTTATCTCCCGCTTGTCTAGTTGGGATAAAGCCCACTTGGTCATTACGAATTAAAGAGCCAATATACAGGTTAAGACGTGAAGAAAGGACTTTTGCTAGCAGTTTGATGTCAATGTTAAGGAGAGAGATTGGCCTATAATTGGACCACTGCGTGTCATCAGAATTCGGCTTTGGGATCATTGAAATGTTCGCTTGCACTGTTTCATGATTGAAGGTTTGGCCAGATAGTAAAGCGTTAAAAGCATTAGTGAGGATAGGTGTGAGGAGATGAGCAAATTTTTTATAGTAAGTGGCTGAGAAGCCATCTGGCCCTGGGCATTTACGTAGCTTTAGACTTTCAATAGCATCTAAGGTTTCGGCTGGGGAGATGGGTCGTTCAAGTGCCGCTAACTGGCACTCTGAGAGTTTCGGGAAAGAAATGGAAGTTAAAAGGGTATCAGCTTGTGTGGGGTCGAAAGGTGTGGAAGAGGAGTAAAGCTGTGACAAGTGTTTATGGAACGTCCGTAGAATGTCTTCCGGGTTACTAGTGAGGTTGCCAGAGGAGGTGCGTATCCTGATAGGTTTAGTGAGCTGGTCGAGCCTGCGAAGTGAGAGAGCCAGTAATGTGTGTTGGGTTTATTTGCCCTAGTATAGTATTTGTGCCTAGATCTACGGAGTGAGAGTTCTGCTTGGTCTGTGAGAAAGAGATCTAGGGCCAATCTAGATCGCTCCAGGGTTTCACGATTGGCAGGCATAGGAGCCGCCTGGAAGGCTTGATGAGAACGATCATAGGTTTGCTCCAGTAGAAGACGTTGTTGCCTTTTGGTTTTATTTAAGAAGGATGCTTTGCTAATGCAAAACCCTCGCAATACCGGTTTGTGCGCTTCCCATAGCAGGAGAGGGGAAATATCAGGTGACTGATTAAGAGAGAAATAGTCTTTAAGGGCTGGTTTACAAGCAGGTTATCATTAATGATCCAAGAGGATTCAGCGGGGGATGGGGCCAACGAAGCCATAGATGTGAACACGGCGCAATGGTCAGACCAGGGGATGGGAATTATTTCAGAGGTCAAAAGCCGAGGGGAAGAGGCAGTGGTGACAAAAATATGATCTATCCTAGAGAATGACCGGTGGGGGTGAGAATAGAATGTGTATTGGCGTTTGGTCGAGTTAAGTTCTCGCCATGAGTCTATCAAAGAATAACGTTGTAGTATGGATTGGAAGGTTTGTTTAGAAGCAGGGATAGGAGATAGTTGAGGAGATTTGTCGAGAAAGGGATATAATTACATTGTTAGAGTCTCCGCTAACAATTAAAGTTCCGCGTTTATGATGGTCTATAACCGAGAGTATGTGTGAAAGGAATGGTAGAGGGTCTTGATTTGGGGCATAGTATGCAACAATGGTGACATCTACGTCAAGGAGTTGCCCTACTAACAGGAGGTAACGACCTTCCGGGTCTTTGATTTCGGTGCATGGCATGAAAGGTGTTGTGCGATGGAAGGCAATCAGTACCCCCCTACGTTTGGTGGTGGCAGAGGCTGTGTAGACCTGAGGATATCGAGGACCAAAAAACTTAGGAGTGGAGTTGGAAGTAAAGTGTGTTTCCTGAAGACAGACCACGTGGGCTTTAAGTGTAGCAAAGGTTCGGAAAGCCTTATTACGTTTCTGCGGGATATTGAGGCCCTGAACATTCAGGGTAAGGACATTTAACAAGCCCATGGGGAAAGCTCATAGTGGATTGGATAGCATGGCACCACCGCCCGGGGTGGAGCCTGGCGATTACTGCGGGGGATAAGATTGTTGCGGAGTATGTTGAGCAAGGTCATGGAGTCATGTTGGAGGGAGGGAAGAGGGGTACGGTAGGAGAGAGGTAACAGGAAAGAAGGGGTGTAGGACGCCATTTAAGGCCTAAAAGGTGGGCTCCCAAGGACACCCTGGGTCAGGGTGGGTTAGGGAGCAATAGTAGCCCA